GAACGAGAGACTTATACCTTGAGGGACTTACATCTCTGAATCCGCCAATCTCACAATATAGTGAGGATTCGTTACAGATCCAAAGAAGTACCCATCCACACGACCCAATGGGGCTTTTGTTTCAGTGATCAAGAGCATAGCACCTACATTCAAAGATTTGTGATCTCCCTTGTTCTTAACTACCAAATATGGTACCTGTAATGACAAATTAGGTTTAAACTCAAGCATGCTGAGACAATAATCGTATAAAGTTCTCCCGAGTATAATACCATATTCACAATTCCAACAGGAACAGTGGGTGGCTTGATGCGCTTCTTCTAGTTATGTTTTTTTATTGAGGAGATAGCTGCATATATATATATGTCTCTCATTACTAACCCTTTTTTGTGTACTTAAGAAATAGACATGATTCAAAATAAATTGTTACTTTTTGTTTCATTTTAACTTTAATTTGTTTTGCAATATAATTCTTACCCAAACATCACTCATGTACCTAAACTATGGGTATTTTGTCCATTAAGCATTTTCATGTTTGTGGGTTACACTTATCAAATACCGCATAGCATGATAATTAGGTGGTTTTGCAAATAGGTAGATAAAGAAATTTATACATGTCATTAAATTTTAAATAAAGAGGCTTCCCAAGCCATTTTTTTTTGTAATTGATCAAAACTATAGAAAGCGTTTTAACACATTATGTAACATGGATAAAATAGATAAAAGATATGTGAGCATAATGAAATTGCAACCTTTTTAGTTATTAACGTATAGCATACGGCAACTACCTAATATCAATAAACATGAAAAAGTGCATGAAATGTCAGAATAGCTAAGTCATCTGGGATCACTACCATGGCTACAAGTAAAGCCATTAGAGACAAGAATGCAGCCTAGGACACTAAAAAGCCAAGCTCCTCTGCTGTGGAGATGACACCAAGCTTTCAAGGTTCTCATATGAGTCCCAATCCCTCTAATTTAGAGAACGAATAGAAGGTCCAAACCAACGCTACACCGCATACTTTTTTTTTTTATATTTTTTTTCATTTTTGAATAAGTTCTTAGTGAACAACATTCATGAGGTAAATGCATCAAGTGGTTTATGCCGTTGGGTAGTTTTTGTAAATTAATTTTGTTTGAAAATAAAGTATAAATGGTTAAAATTTAAAATGTTTCTCAGATTTGGTATTTTACCTTTGTTCGTATTTTAATAGTTTTTATTATATTATATTATATATGTAGACATTAATAAATACTTTTTTATATTTTACTTTTACAAAAAAAATATACCGTATAGTCATTTTTTGTATATGTTTAATTTTATTTTTGTGTTTTTAGTATATTTTTAACTTAAGAAATGTTAGATTTGTCTTTATATTCTAATATATGTAAATATTTTTCACTATTAACTTCAAGAATCTTAGATTAATGGCTAAGTTACTTAGATGGTTGGAGTTTGTTAGAGTGGATAAGGAGAAGTTTAAGTTAAACCACTTAATTTATTCATTTGAGTACATAGAACACTCTTTTTAGTTTTTCTTCTTCGTCTCAATATTTACTTTTGTTTATGTTTAATTATTGAAAATTTAACATTAGACGTTCATGTAGCCTACAATTAAATATTGAAACTATAGAGTGAACTTGCTATTAAATATTGAAATGCTGATTGGCTACAGTTTTTAATAAGCCTACTTTTTTCAAACAATAAGCCCACAATAGTGAGATAAGCCTTAACAAAAAAAAAATGATATAGAACAGAAGAATTATTATTAGCCAAAAATTTTAAGTTGTATTAATCGAAATATTTTCATTGGATAACGATTTTAATGATATGTCATGCTGAGAATATCCCAAAATGTTGAGATGTTAGACCTAAAGAGATCCTTAGTGTTTTTAAAGTATTGATTTGCTAGTTTTATAAACCGTACACCACTTACAAATAAAAATTAAACTTATTTTTCTATTTTGTATCCAAGTTTGAGTTTGATTTTAGCAGCGAAAAATCTCTCGTCTCATGATCGTTCATCCTCATTTGATACCCAAATGGTTCCTTCTGAATAAATGTGAACACAACACCAAGATATATCAAATTCATTCCTAAATGCCTATAGACTCAAAGAAAAACACATAACAAAGACTACCAAGTTCTTTTGTATTGCCTTTTTTTTTTATGTTTCAATATTTTAGCTTATCTTTAGTCACATAAATGTACATAACAGTATTTTATTGTTGAGAAAATAAATAGAATATCAATATTGAAACAATAATGTTATAAAGAGATATATCATTTGAGCTTATCTTGATCGTGACTATAATTAATGGAGTTAACATATCATAACTTGATGTCTAATGATAACATAGTCTGGTCCCGTTACCACATCTCACAAGACAAGTGGACTAGAACTGTAGAAGCATGGGACTATCTAGCTCTTTTCTTATTTGTCCTTTGACATATGATTTGTCGTATTTATTTCTTATATTATATAGTTTTATTTTGTTTGAAGTGTCATCGAAATTTGAGCTCTAAAGTAAGTTGATGTTACATTATATATTCCAAATTTTATTTGCAAATTGAAACTATACTCGCTTTCTCTACAGCTCTCCATTCGGTGTAAAATGATGTTGCCGTGTTTTATCCATAAATCATTCTCCATTTAAAGCTTCCAAATAAAACAAAAAAAAAAATTGGAATTGTGAGAATCAATTCTTAAGATTTGATGGTAAACAAATTACGAGAAGTATTTTCATATCCTAAAGCAAAAGCATAAATATTCTTACATGATTGATTTTTATAAATAAATTTCGATTAAAACTAGTAAAAAAAATATTACGATTTAAAATCAAAATTGTTTTTGTTAAGGATTTTGAATAGTTTTAAATATGTTGTGAGATACAACCGTTGATGAGATTCATGAACGTAGACATGGTCCTACGGAAATTAAATTCCTATAGTTATCAATACTATTTTGAGTTTCATTTAATTTGACAAAGAAATAAATACTTTCACAAGATTCAATAGACATATAATTGGATCAAATCTATCGTTTTGTGTAATTACAAACAAAAGCTCACGTCAACGCGTTATTGGTTTCAGTTCTTCAAAGCAAAGCTAGTGGTGGCACCTTTGCTCGGTTCTCAATTTAAGTGGAAAATTCTTTCCGGTAAACTAATCAATTAAAATAAGACATCACAGAAAGTTGTAACCACCCAAATTTAGAAATAATAAAGTGTTACACAAATATTATCATAACTCTAAAAGAAAAAGCTAATAAGAAAAAAACAAGATATGAAATAAATCATTATCTCAAATTTAAGAGAAACCGTGTTCCATATTTCATATTGCTTTCGCCTCACTATCGTTTGTCATCTTTCCCATTTCCACAAAATGTGCCCTTGTATTAGAAATTACCTTTTCTTGAATTAAAGAAAAATAATAATTTCATAAACTAATTGTTTAGTCTAAATTGTAACTATATTTTAAAATGAATCACTCAAAGTCATGTATAACATAATTTTGTAAAATCATCTAGTATAATATATAGCTTAATTTAGACGAATCATGTAATGCTAAACTTGTCCTAAGGTATTGGCTAAAGATTTGCCACTCATGACAAACTAGCAGAGTATTTTTCTTGCAACAATAATCATATTTAAACCTAATTGAATATTGTAGAAACAATATTTCTTTTCATGTTAAAGTACTTACCTAACATAATCCAACTACTAAAAATAATATAAAACGAAGAAGTGCGACTTATTATTCAACTATATTAATTACAAAAAATGTTCAACACAATCACATAATTCGTAGTGCATTTAATTCCCTAGCAAACCTATTGTGAATTTGTGAAAAAAATTTGTCGGATTTGCTATACAAAATCGGAACTATAATTATTATTTTATTATAAAATATACTTTTAAATCGGAACTTCAATTATTATTGTTATTTTTTACTAATAAATCGGATTTATTACCAAAGACTTGTTGTCTTAGGCCGAAGAAAAGACTTAAAACTTTCTTGTAAACAAAAGAAATTTACGATGTCTAACCATCGTCGCATCCGTTGTCCACAGTCGCCGATTTGCCACCATGTCAATTAAACCAAAGTATAATCAAATTGCTACAAATAGATATTTTGTAGGCAAATCTCTAGCAAAAGGTATAACTGGTAATTGCCTAAAAATAAGAAGAAGGTATAACTGGTATAAAAACATGTGGGAACTTCAGATTCAAGGAAGGCAAAAAAAAAAAAAACACTATGTCTTGACTTGTTATATATATATAAGAAAAAAATTCCACTAGTTGCGTATGAGATAGTTTTCTTAAGTCCGCAAGCTGTATATGAGGTGTACGTAATTTTATTTGTTGAAACTCTTGTAATCGATTTTTTATAGCCATTAATTAAAAATGTTTTTGTAGTTGCCAACAAAATCATTTGGTCAAAATTGTTATTTGAGCGTTAAATTACTTTCAAGAAAATACTACTTAAATGTTGTGACAATTTCCTTCCTAGTACTAATTTATACTAGTTATTACAGTAGTTATTACCTTCACGTTCAAGAAAGTTTCATTTAAACACATTACACATATTGTAAGAAACTCTATATATCTCCATAATTAATATATTTTCCTATTTTTTAAAAATGTTAATTTAGATGAAAAAATTGTACTTCGTCCCCTTAAAAAATGCATCACTTTTCTTATATTTCATTTTTTTTTCAACTCCTAAAAAATTACTGTAAATTACTTTCAACCTTAAACACAAAAATAATAATACCCAAAAAAAAAACTTTAAATAAACCTGAAAATTAAGTAAGAAAACGTGTGTGTTAAGTGTATATATATTACAGTCACCTTCCATTACTTTCCATCATCTCTCTCACTTCCAAAAAAATGTCTCCCATTCCAAAACCACTCTTCTTCTTCTTCTTCTTCCTCAACTATGTATCTCTCTCAACCTCACTCTCCCTCCACCTCCCACTCACATCTCTCCCTATCTCCTCAACCACAAACTCTCACCGCTTCACCAACTCTCTCCTCTCCCGGAAAAACCCATCTCCGTCGTCTCCACCATACAACTTCCGATCAAGATTCAAATACTCAATGGCTTTAATCATCTCACTCCCCATAGGAACACCACCACAAGCTCAACAAATGGTTCTTGATACTGGAAGCCAACTTTCTTGGATTCAATGTCATCGTAAAAAGCTTCCTCCAAAACCTAAAACATCATTTGATCCATCTCTTTCTTCTTCTTTCTCTACTTTACCTTGCTCTCATCCTCTTTGTAAACCTAGAATTCCCGATTTTACCCTTCCTACTTCTTGTGACTCGAACCGGTTATGTCATTACTCTTACTTCTACGCTGATGGAACTTTCGCTGAGGGTAATCTCGTCAAAGAAAAAATCACTTTCTCAAATACCGAAATTACCCCTCCTTTGATTCTTGGTTGCGCTACTGAGTCTTCTGATGATAGGGGTATTTTGGGAATGAATCGTGGTCGTCTCTCTTTTGTTTCTCAAGCTAAGATTTCGAAGTTCTCTTATTGTATCCCTCCTAAATCAAACCGGCCCGGTTTTACACCAACCGGTTCGTTTTACCTCGGAGATAACCCGAATTCTAAAGGATTCAAATACGTTTCTTTGTTGACTTTTCCTGAAAGTCAACGAATGCCGAATCTTGATCCTCTGGCTTACACTGTACCGATGATTGGCATTAGATTTGGTTTAAAGAAGCTTAACATTTCCGGTTCGGTTTTTAGACCAGATGCAGGTGGGTCGGGTCAAACAATGGTTGATTCAGGATCCGAGTTTACTCATTTAGTAGACGCAGCTTATGATAAAGTGAGAGAAGAGATAGTGACACGTGTAGGACGAAGATTAAAGAAAGGTTACGTGTACGGTGGAACAGCTGACATGTGTTTCGATGGAAACGTGGCAATGATCCAACGGTTGATAGGAGATCTTGTGTTTCAGTTCACTAGAGGAGTTGAGATACTTGTTCCTAAAGAGAGGGTTTTGGTCAACGTAGGAGGTGGGATTCACTGTGTTGGAATCGGACGGTCGAGTATGCTTGGAGCAGCTAGTAATATAATCGGGAACGTTCATCAACAAAATCTTTGGGTTGAGTTTGATGTGACCAATAGAAGAGTTGGTTTCGCTAGAGCTGATTGTAGCAGAGTACTGTGAGGAAATGGGTTATGATCAGCTACGGTTACGAGCAGGGTCTTATGGTGGACTCGGTACATAGTTAATATCAGTTTTGAATGAGGCTCTGAACAATATGTCCTACAAAATAATTAAAAGTGTTCACGTAGATTTTTATTGTTGTACCGTTTGTATATTATATGGTTCTTATTAACTTGTTACATAAAAATATCTTTATATGTGTCACTATGGCTTGTTGACTCGTGTTGAAAGACTTGTGGATGAAGAGAGATATGAGATTTAGATTTGAGAATTTGTCAAGTGTTTTTGTTCGGTGTTGTTTTGATGGTACTAGTACTATTAGTATATTAATCTAAAAATTAGATCTACTTTAAGCCGATTGTCTAAGATGTGGCCACAAATAATGAAACCAAACTAATATAATAAATGGATAGTTAGCTACTAAACACGTAGTCTAACTATGAAAATATCATAGAAAATTAGTGAATAGCATAAATAAATCAATTTTCTTGAAATGATGGGAATATGTTATTTCTTTACTTAATTATATTTAATATCATTTCCTAATGTTTCCATAAGTCTATCTACTCCATAACTTTTTGATTGTTTTTTTCTGTCATTCATATACTCACATTTAGAAGTTTAAAATCCACAATGATAAAAGTGTAGAAAAGTGGTATATTTCGGCAACATTGCTTTTTTTTTAAATGAAATATTCATCGATCACAGCAATTCTTCGCCACATTCTCTCAAACGCAAAGAAAAGAAAGAAAATACGAGGTCTTGACCGTCATGATTTCGGCCACATTTATATATTAAATAAATTTATAAACTGTGTTTACTTTATTAAGTTTTTTTTTTTAATCTAGACATGTATACGGTTTCAGAACTCTCACGGATGTTCTTTGTGTAACTAGTCTCCCATCACAATCCACATTATAACTTTTAGTCACCAACTAGTCAAGGCTAGTGGTTACAATTATTATCATTAACGTATATTTAACTAAAATATAGAGGAACACGATTTGATTAGTGTAAAATATTGGTGTGTATATTATATAACTTGCTTGCAACATAATCCTTGATTACAGAAATCGAAAGTAAGTTCAAAGAAAAGAGGACAAACAGGGATGGCTATATATTTTATTGAGTATGTGATATTTACTAATTATTAGTAAGACAAACCGAAATCAGACCGAAATAAGGATCACACCACGACATAAAAGATATGTTATAAACCAAAAACATATTTTAAAAATTGAGTGAAAGGAGAAAGATGCAATGAATAACCCACAAAAACACATGAACCAAATAAAAAACAATAATATGTCACAAGACATGTATCATCTATTTTTTGTACCATCAATTTTTTTTTAAGCAACCACAGTATTTGTTAAATTATTTTTAAATACATATATACAAACTCTTGAAATCTCTTTTTTCTTTTTTTTCCAAATGAGTTTCCGATAATAATAATAAAAATACCATAAATACCTCAAATTTAGAGAATTAAGCATACGCGCCGTCAAAACCAATACAAATATATAATTTTGAGTTATAACACAAGTATCAAGCCATAATACAGTTAGGATTTCTATGTACCCCAAGACAAAACACTATGACCATTGCAACACATGAGATATTTGATCAAAAACAAAAACAAAAATATGATAAATAACAAGCTTTAAACTTTGAAAATGTAGGGAAGTGTGAAGTAGGGGCCAAAGATGAGCTGGTCAGCCTTAACTTTGAGATAGGATTTGGGTCAAGTAGCCGACAGCTTAGTACTCTTCCCCCTTAACTCATCCTTTTCTTTCCTTTTATTATTCTCTTTATTCCCGACAATGACGTTCCTTTCTTCTTTCCCATTTCTGTTTCCATCATTGTAGTTAAGTTTTTTGGTTGAATTATAATTGTAGTTTAGTTTTGAAATTCCATAATTAAATTAAATTATTTTATGCATCATAAAATTATCATGGGTTTGTTCATGGATTTTGTACCTCATGATCCACCAGAAGATTAGAATGCGGTAAAGTCATTGTCAAGCAAATTATAAGTCTAAGATATATATTTTAAATTACCAAGTACCATCCAAAAAATTATAGGGAATTTTTGAAAAATGTCTTCTTTGGTGTGTCTTTTCAAAAATGCATGTTTTAAGTGTTTATTTTCAAAAACACCTCATTAAATCTGAAAAGTTTGTAAAATTTTATAAGATTTATAATGTACTTATGAATGGTAACTAATACATGGAAACTCGATCCAAGTATTTATAAGGTATATTAAAAGGTTTTACAAAATATTTATAAGGTTTTACAAGGTTTTATAAGATATTTATTAAATATTTATAAGATTTTATATACATATAAATGTAGTTTGTATATGTTTTAAATCTTTAATAAGGTTACACACGTATTTGAGTACATCTCAAATTTTTAGAAGCATTTTGAGAAAGTTTTAGAGAAGAGACCTTTTTTAAAAATGGTAGTATTAGAAAAGAGATTTTTGAAATTCCCCAAAATTATATATGTGTTAAGAACTTTAATTATTGCATACGAGTGATTAGTAATGTTCTAATACATTTCTACTGTGTGATACACGACTGTTAGCTTTATTCGTTGAATTGTGAAAATAATTTAGTAAAACTATCTCTCCAAAGTCCTTATGCAAATTTAATGAAGGTGAAGAAAACTTTATTACGATATATATATTTTTTTTGTCTTGATATGTATTACAACCAGTTTTTGTAAAAATAAAAAATAATAATAAGACTTAACAGTTGTGAAATAATAAATTGGAGAAACGAAAACGAGAAAATGATGATTCTAATAGCGGAAAGTATTGTAGTTTGACTCGATTGACGCAATGAACCATCATTATTTCAATTGAAGTGAGAAATGTATAGTGCAAAGAAGAAGGTTCTTTACTTCTTTCATTATTTCATTCTTTTACTTCGACTAATTTTAATTGTTAATAACATTATTTCAACTTTGGACCGACCAAGATGGGTTCAGTTTCCATCTTACGATCATCAATAATTCTATGGCAGACATAAAGTGTGGTTGGTACTCAGTCATAAGATGGAGAAGCTGAGAAGGGTTGAAAAAGAATAGGAATATTGATGCACTAGTGAAGCCACAACAAACCTAAATTTTCTTTCTTATAAATGACATTTCTATATATATACAGTACCTATGTGGTGGAGTTTGAATTATTTTTACAGAATGAACAAATCTATTTATATAAATAATATCATCTTAAAAAAATGTAGTTTAAAAGTACACTCTACAAATCACTTTTACTTTAAAAAATTTTTGTGCTGCTTCTAATTACAATTGTTATATCCTAGTAGTTATCTTCGAAGAATTAATTTAGACAATTGGTATACTTATCATCCATAATGCGGTCATTACAATCTAAATATCAATCTCAACAGTTTTGTTTTTGTCAAACTCACATCTGTAAATGGTAACTTGTATATAGCTGAATTCTTGTGGAAAAGTGGAGAAATTTTAATTAACAATTTATTTTTAAAAAATTCAGCCAGATTAAGCTGTTACCATTTATACATTCGGTTATTCAGCTAGATTCAGCTAAAAATCACCATAAAATTCAGCCACATTTTAAAATGATAGTAACAAATCTAGATGCAAAAAGGTGAAAACGCGTATGCTTTATTCATAAAGAAGCCTAAGCTTTTTTTAGCTCATCAGCTCATCACCTACTCAGCAAAATATAAACGAGATCAGGGACAACATCAACCTAGCATAAGAAAATGTATTTGTTTAGACAAGCTTCTCATATATTCAATCAAAAGCATAAACAAAGATATATCACCTTCGCATTTTTCACTCGACTAATGGTGGAACCAACATCATTACTTTTCAAGAGCATACTACAAACAACGCAAGATTTGTGCGAGTCTACTTCCAAGATCTTGGCAGCATAGATCTCATCAATGTTAACAGTCATTGGATTCCTTAAGGCTTTCAGTCAAACAAATGAACCAGTCAATTGCAATAACATTGAAGAAATAAGAAATAAAACTCTTGGAGGAATTAAACACCTCAACTATTAAAGAGTTTAATTTTTTTTGGTGAAACTGCTTGCTAGTTCTCATCCTCATCCGGAAAATAAAAATTTGTTAGACAACCATAGTCTCAGAAATCTTAACTTGTTCTCCAAGTATCTCAAGAGCCTATAGAATCAAAAAACAATAGCTTCAACTTTGATATTTATTTTTAAACTCTGGAAATAAATAGTAATAAGGATTGAAATTCACCTTATACACGGATTCTGTATATCTAGAAATTATATGGCTGCGTTTCAGTCCCATATCTCTATGTTTGAGAATTGTACATATGTATATTCCTAGATTTTCTTCTATATATATATTTACATATGTATTTGGTGGAGTTCGAAATGTTTTTTACAAGTGAACAAATCTATTTATATAAATAATATCAACTTAAAAATTTGTAGTTTAAAAATACACTCTATAAATCACATTTACTTCAAAATTTTGTATACCGCTTCTAATTACAATTGTTTTATCCTAAATGGCAAAAAAATAAAAGAAATTTATATATATTTTCCCTATTTGGTGGAGATCAAATTTTATTTTTATCAGAGTGAACAAATCTATATATATAAATAATTTCATCTTCAAAAAATGTAGTTTACAAGTACACTCTACAAATCACTTGTACTTTGAACTTTTTTTGTACCGCTTATAGCAACAATTGTTATGTCCTAATAGTTATTTTCAAAGAACTAAATTAGACAATTGATAAACTTATAATCCATAATGCGGTCATTACAATCTAAAATATCAATCTCAACATTGTTTCTTTGTCAAACTCGCATCTGTAAATGGTAACTTGTATACTTCAAGTTACCAGAACAATGTTCTCTGATGAAAATATTTTTTTGGTATAGAGGTAAACATAGGTTTCCGATACACCAAATCAAACAATTGTTACATGTTTTAATTGATAAACGATCTTTTACAAGGATCTTTTTATTTCGGCAGTTACTTGATCTGTTCTACCCCGAATAATCAAATCCGACTAAGAACAAATCTAAAACATGATTCTCTCTGCTTCTTTTTTTATCACTCACCCATAAAGATCAAGAGAATTAAAACAACACTCATCTTCTAAGTTCTTTTTGTGGCTTCGAAGTTTACAACCATATGACAATATCTAGAATGCGTAAACGGCTCATGGCCAACCTCTAGAATATTATACTATACTCCAGAACCCTAAACCTAGGATCTCCAAGAAACAATGCTTGGGATCTTCTTTGTTTTTCAATTTTATCCCTTTTTCTTATTTGGTAAGAAAAATATTTATAAATCTTCTCAACAAATTTAGTCTCTGATCTCCATGCCAAGTCATCAAAGATTCTTGGCTCGTCACATCCAGTGCTCCAACTCTGCCATGTCACCTTATGTCAACAACTCAGCCGTCTAATGTGATTTGATGCAGTTTCTTATTCTAATCTGATATATATGTTTTCTGACTTTTCAAGTTAAGACTATTTATGTAACCATGTTCTAGTCAAGTATTGGTAACACAACACGATTTGACTGGTATTAGCGCCTTTTAGTTTATAATTATTTCTAAACTAAAAAGAGACGAATGATTACTATTTTTCAGTCTTAAAAACAACATATTATAATTTTAGGTGAATCCGTTTTATTTAAGCCATGCGGATCATTTTGCGGAAAAATGTATTTTCATACATGTACAAACTGCAAAGTGTATTTTCATACCTGAACAAACATGTATGGTTAATTTATACCCAAATCCCCAAAGAATTTGAATTTCATACCTAAACTTTATATTTAGTGTCTAATTCGAAATCATAATTAACAGATGATAGTCAACTGTTACGGTTGCTGAATCAGATGACACGTATTTGATGACGTGACTTAAACGATGTTATTTTAAGCGTTGGAGTTGAAGTTTTATCAAAACTAGATGAATAACCACGCTATGCGTGGTTTTATTTTGAAAATTATTAAAAACATATTATGTTAATTGTTCTTATTGCTAATTTATGTTTACTTTTTTGTTTGCTATTGTGTAGTTTATAAAATTAGATCCATCTTATGTTATTATTATTTTTATGATTAGATTCATTTTTGACTCAAATATCAATTTATATATTTTTATGTATAAATTTGATTATTTATATATGTAAGATCCTAATATTTTTTCACTATCATGAATACATACAATAACAATATATGATATTTTGATATAATGATATGTAATTATGTTACTTGTGTCAAGTGGTTTGAAACTTGGCTAACTTGATTATAATTAAACAATTCATTGTTCTATGTACTATTGCATATAGCCATATAAAATAAATGGTCGTGTTTTGAATTTCTTGGTATATCTAACGTCTGAAAGACTCATTACTTGGAAACACTTGCAGGTTAATATTACCAACTTACCATAAGATACAAAAATGAAAAGAGAGAAGGTCCTAATGATAAATCGTATATGAATCACAAAACGTAATAATGAGAAAAGACTAAAAGTAAAATTACTAAACTAATAAGAGGTTAGATAGTAAACAACTAAACTACAACACAAATAAATTTTTAATCATTGCCGAGTAATGACCTTTGATAAACAAATTAATAAAATAAGAAGAGTAGAATGAAATTAATGCTTAATTTAGTAACATAATTTTGTACTTTTATTTTATTTTGAAGAAATGAGTTAAGTGTATGATTGATGGAGGATTAAATGCAATGAAGAGCTTTTATTTTTAGTTATTTAATTTTGTTAATTTTCTTAATTAAATATTTTAGAATGACACATGTCATTTTCTTGTGTGATGATGTGGCACTCATATGGAGAGAGTTGGCCAACTTTCATATATATGATTTAGCAATAATCAGATCTCGAACCCACGATGTTTCACGATAGTTGTCGATCAAATGGTAATGGACTGCGTAAATGAGTGAAATGTTGTGGGTTCGAGACCTGATTTTTGAAATTTTTTAAAAGATTTTAATTCTAACGCTTAAAACGATATCGTTTTAAACCATAAAATCAAACACTTGTCAATTGACTCAGCAACCGTAATGGTTGACTAACACCCATTAATTACAATTCTAAATTAGACACTAAATATAAAATTCGGATATAAAATTCAAATTTTTTTAGAGTTTGATATAAATTAACTCTTTACGTAAGAAATCACACTTTACAGTATAAAAATACATTTTCCAATCATTTTGCACTACAAAGCCTAAAATTTAGTTTCAGTCTTACCATGTGGCCCAAATTCCAAATGAATTGGGCTTTATTCGTTATTTTATTCTTTCTCTTTAATGTGTGTTTGATTGATTTCTTAGTGGGCTCCAAAATTATTTTAAACTGGGGTCACTAATTGCTCATTAACTTCATAACACGAATCGAATTGGATTATTAAAATAGTAGAGTATTGCGAGCATGTTCGTAAAATACAAAACTTAAAACTGAAACCCACCATGTGTATATTAAACTAGAGTTCTCATCGCTATAAAGTTAATTGAGTTTATTGACTTGTTCCGTTGGATAATATTTAACACATGCAGTCAGATCTGTGCCTAGGAAAACGGCAAACGCATACACAAATTATGCTACATGGTTACTATTTGGATACTAAAAGCATTTTAAATATTTAAAATTTATTTGGGTATCTAAACATTAATATATTAAGATTTTATTCGTTTAATTATACAATTAATTTAGTTACCCAAATAAATTTTAAATATTTATAATTAATATAAACTTTTAATCAAATATATTTAAAAGTTGCATTGAAATTTGTAAAATATCCTATATAATAAAACAAATAAATCTTTAAAATTTCATATATATATATATATATATATATATATATATAATGAAACATAAGGGGTATCAATTAGAGGTACATTAAACATTTCTTTTAAATTTTTGAAACTAGTGAAAACCAATGATTTTAAACCGGATATGCATTGGGTAATGGTTCAATTTTGTTCGATCGGGTTCATCAAAATTGTCAGTAAATAACTAAATATATAACTACAACTGAGCAAAGAACAAATTAAATTTTTTACTTTTGTCACTATTTTCCTTAAGATGTAAATATTTACTCAAACGTGTTAAAAATACACAGCTAGTGAAAATCAGAAACTGAAATTAAGAAATGTACAATTAAATAAAACAAAACAAAAAAATTGTTCAAAAGAAAAAGTCCCTTCCAGCCTAAAAAGTCTTCAAAGCTCAACAACCCAAGAACCACTAAAGTTAGCGACGACCACTTTGAGTCTTGCCACTTGCCGCCGACCTGACCAGAGCCTCTGCCGCCGCCGCAACCTTTACCGTTCTTCTGCCGGCCTGCGAAGCCACGTCATCACTTCTCCCACAAACCGTCGACCCTGGACCCATCACAATCATTCCCTTCCACAAACTTCTCTTGCTCACTTTTTTCATGAAGCCACCATTATAACTCTTGTCATTGTTTGTTCTACTTCTAGTAGTAGTATTATTATTATCTTTACCATTTCTCTTCTGCAACAAACCATGATCATCAAAACCATAATCATCATTATGATTATGATTATGATGATCATTGCCGTTGTGCCTCAAAACACTGCTTAAACTTGCGGAGAAACTAGTATCATCAATGTTAAGCCTCTTGGAGATGTTCTTGATCTCGTAAGTGTCAAGAAGACGAGAGTACTGCGTTTCTTGATCCCCACGAAAAGGGTAATTCGTGTACCAAAGTGGAGACTTAGTAGAAACCCTATTCTCAGCCAAAAGCCTATTCTCAGAGAGGATCATGTTCTTCGTTGCTTCGATCTTGTACCGTGAAGGTCGCGGTGTTCTTGATGCTCTCGTTAGATCAAACTCTCTCATAATCGGTTTGCCTTCTTTCCTTAGGTACCAAGCCCACGCCGCCGCCTTCACCACCGCTAAATCATCTCCTCCTCCTCCACCACCATAAACCGTCATGGCCCGTTTCTTCTTCCTCCTCTTGTTTACGTTGTTGTTGCTAATGTTCTTCTCGGAGATAGATGGTGAAGAAATGTAGTAGTTGGCAAATGGGAGCATTGTGGGAAATAGAGTAAATGAAATTTGAGAGATAAACGTTAATAGTGACGAAGGGAAAGGCTAAGCAAAATGATTGATGAATATATTTATTTTGTATTAAAGGATATAGTAAATAAAATTGAAAGAAAGTAGGTGTGTTGGTCTTACTTTATGGTCCACCAATGGATACGGCAATCTAAATAATTCTATAGAAAAAATGTTATTTTTATTTTGTGTTAGTTGGATTTGGAATTGCATAGTGCATATCCTACGTATCACTTAGCGGTCCCGTATACGTATACTTATTTCGTGCATTAATATCCCAATAAATATGGAAATACAAGTTCTTGTTATGGACAGGACTACGAAAATATGGTTGTGACAGAAAAAAATTACAATTAGAAGGGAAATACAAGATTCAATTTTTCCTATTTTAATTCATTTTGAAAGTGGAAGCCCCATTGGCCCATTAGTTGATCAAGGATTAATTAATGCTTCTACACCCAGAGGTCTGGGGTTCGTATCCCAGATACTGCGATTTATTAATAAATTTGCAGATTATTGGAGGCAAGTGTGCAAGAGATCTCCAGCGATGTACAATTATAGCCGTTCGCCAGGATTCTACGCAGATAGAGAAGTGTCCATCAAGAGCATAAAGAATGAGGTGAAGGAGAGCATGAAGAAGAAGGTGAAGAAGGTGTCGTCTGTCGTGGATCTAATAAGGGTCGGAAGGAATTGTCCGTTGTAGAATCGTCTATGTAACAGTTCTCATAATTTGCAATAAATAATAAATCCGGAGGATAAAAAAAAAAAAATTCATTTTGAAAAGGTTCTGTCTTAATATACTATGTGGAAGAAGTAACCACGCACTATCTTCTCCACCTTAAAGTATAATCTTTTGGTCTCGATGACGATGACTATCCAATTATATTCATTTATGTCAACGTGGCTTATTGTGGAGATGAATGTTGTTGTATCAGTCTAGGAATTATTTCTGTCCATATAAAAGTTCGGTAATCTGCGGATGAATTCATCCACATTCCCATCCCCATTCACCTCCACATCCCTAGGTTGGTCAGGAAAGTAGTTGCAGTTACTATGATAACACAAAGTGGTGGTGATATATGCCTCTCATTGACTTCCTCTGACTTGTTTGAGATACGAAATGATTTAGGGCAGAAAAAAAAAAAGCAAGAAAATAAGAACAATTGCAAAAAAAAAGCATTACTTTTTTTTTTATAGACAATATAACCGACGACTGAAAACTTAACCAGAAGTCGAGTGCGTAAGTTCCACGCGCGGGCGACTTCTCTCTCAAACCCAGTCAACTACCAAACCCTAGATCTGCTTTCCTCTGCCTCTCCGGCGTGCTTTTCCGGCGTCGGAGAGGGCTTTGCCTTTTTGTTTTTCTTCTGGTCTTTCTCCTCTGTCCGTTGTTTCCGTTCGTGGTGGGTGATGGCTCGCCGTATCCTTACCTTCTCGTCCTCCAGGTTAGGGCTGGGCAAAATATTCGTTAGGTTCGCTTCGATCCGTTTTTCGGTTCTATTCGATTCGAAAAATCCGAATATCCGGAGTTTTACGAGGTAAATCAAATACTAAAAATTGATATTCGTTAAAAACGAAGCAAATAACAAATACTAAAATTTAAATAGGCGGATATCCGCTCCAATCCGGTATACATGAACATATGTATATGTATATAGATAATTATAGATATATATTAATAATTTTACTATTTTTATATGTAAGTTTTATAAATTTATGTTCATCAAATTAATTACGTTACTATTAGTTTTAACAATTAAAGAAGAAATATTTTTTTCAATGAAATATTACTTATTTTGTTATAAATTTCTCATTTTTATGTTTTTTTAAAAAATTTTGTAATTGTTTTTTGATATATACTGAGCAAATCGAATATCCGGCAAATAGTTCAGATTTTAACGGATATTCGGACAGCCGAATATTCGGTTATTTACGAAGCAAATACGAATCGGAAAACCAATTATTCGGACGAAGCAAATCGAATAACAAATACTACCAAAATCCCGGATATCCGCTTCGTGCCCACCCCTACTCCAGGTGGTGGTAAATCAAAGCTCAGGCTTCGCGTAGTGGCTAGGAGAGACACGGCGGCTTGTTGTTGCTTCGAATTGTGGCTCGAGGTCACCTCGTTTCGATGGCATTCAGATGGTTGCTTTTAGTGGTCGTCCCTCTGTGCGTGTTAGATCTGAGAGTTTGGTTTGTGGTTGTGGCTATGTGGAGACAGCGGAGGGGCTCCGGACTTCCTTCACGGTGGTTAGCTCCGGCTAATTTGTATTTCGGATGGTTCTGTGTCATCTGATTTCAGATTCTCGCCTCTTTGGTTTTGGGTTGGTGTCCGCTTCTCACCGGAAATCTCGGTTTGGGGAGTTTGGTGAAGCAGCATGTGGTGATTGGCTCGATTTCTTCTTCCTCGCCATGGAAAGGGCTTGGTCTGGTTCTTTGTCGACGGATCTAGAATTGACCTTCTCTTTCTCGAGGCGCGGTATGGTGGTTTGGCGAGGCATCAAATCTGAGGTCGTCATGATGTCACCCAATGGCAGCGAGGACTTGAGGACTAGTCTGGGGTTATTGTGTGGCTGATCTTCTTCGGCTTTTAATGCTTTGCGAGGTAATTGCGTTCTCGGTGGTGTAAGGCTTTAGTTGTCGTCAAAGTCTGTTGCTCTTTTGTAGCAGCCTTAGCGGAGTTGCTTGGGGAAGTAGTGGCTGCCGGTGGTGGTCTTGCTTTCGTCTCCAATTGCAATTGTCTCCGGTCGATTCTCGTATCGTTTGCTTTGTCTTTTCAAGGATTTTGTTGGGATCCTTATATGTTGTCTACGAGACTTAAGCCCTTGGTTTGGATTGCGTTTAGTTTGTCGTCTCGTTTTCCCTAGGTTATGGAGGAGCTAGTAAGATCATTGGGTCGTTTGGTGCTATTTCGTATTGTAATATTTTCGCTCTGTGCTAGCCGACTACGAGGTTGTACTTGGTAGAGGGAGCTAGTGCTAATCGTGTACTTTGGTTCGTGTGGCTCCATCCTGAGATCACTCATGGTTTCGCCGTTGACAGCTCAGTCCATGGGCCTCCAGTGAAAGGCTTCCACTACTTTGGCTTTCGTTTTTGCAATCTTTTCAATTTTCATTACCGTCTTTCGTCTTCTGTAGCTCATTCCGGAGGAACTTCAGAATCGTGTATCACTTCATCTGACACCGTTTGCTTCACGGCTTACGTTGAGTCGATGGACTGATTGTTTTTGCTTCCATGTTTTTATCTTTTTTTGCCATGGGACCAAAATTTTTAGGTTTAAAATCTATGATTGTAAACCTAAACATTTTATTTTTAATGAATATTTACATTCTTAGCAAAAAAAAAAAAATATATATAACCGACTATTTCAAACACACATTCATATACAAGTGATATATATGAGTATGTTACACTGATCTATTTTGGATAGAAAGAAGTTGAGATTTCTCACCAGCCCATTATGGATCAAAATCACTTGCACCCACGTGACAAAAAGATAGAGAGATATTGCTTCAGTAAAAGGAGATAATGGGCTTGATTGGTACCGTTTTGAAGAAGTTCGAGTATAATAAGTGTTAGGCCAATTTATACAAATATAACACCGACTCAACCTAACCAGGCTTGACTTAAAATTTGTGTAATCAATTAGATATTAAAGCCCACTTGAACCCATTATTCATTAGCTTGATGGTGTTTAATTAGTAAATTAGTAGTGCACGTTGAGATCCACTTTGTTATCAAGGTGGGTGGGAATAAAATTCCGGAGAGGTAGTCATAGCTTTGTTCGGTCTAGTGATAAGCATCCCACATTGGTGGTTTGATTTGCAAGCCAAGAGTTTCAAAATGCCGATGATGAGTACGCAACAATCTTGCGGGTCATAGACCAGCATTGGTGCTACAAAATGAAAAATAAAAGATCATTAGCCAATCGACCAGCCAAAGCCAGGCTGATTTGGCTTACGGTTTTCGGGCCGCGATAAGAACTTTATCGAAATTGTAATTTTATATATAATATTGGACTGTTAATTTCTGAGATCTTTAGTCTCTAACATTGAAACATGAAGAGGCCTTTTCAGATTGTATTATTAGTACAAATACCAAAGGTTCAATAAAGGTCAAACAAACAAAGCAAACCGAATTTGCTCTAACCACAGAACCCAAAACCCAAAAGATTATAAAGAAGAAAACGAAAGGCCCCAAATCACAAACTCCGGCAATATCAACCGGTACAATTTTGCTTAATAAACTGTAGAAAAGACAAACTTGGAACTTCCAAGAAACCCAATCAGAAGCAACTTCAAGATTTATGGATCATCCTTTCAAGGGTTCCAGAGGAGTGTAGTCTCTGCAATCATGGAAGTAACAATGTAAGGGTCCATGTTTGAAGCTGGCCTCCTATCCTCAAAGTATCCTTTCCCTTCTTTCTCGGTATCACGTCCTACTCGGATCGATGCTCCACGGTTCGCAACACCCTTTTAAAAGAATATTTAAACACAAAGGTCAGAAAATGTTATCAAACACTTTACAAATAGAGAAATGTTCTAATAACTTTACCCAAAGGAAAGTGTTAATGTCAGCGGTTTCATGGTGTCCTGTGAGACGGCGCTCGTTTCCTTCACCGTAAGCGGAAATGTGTTCCTTGTGTCTTAGTCCGAGCTTCTCGATCGCTTTCTTGATTATCTCGTATCCTCCTTCTTCCCTCATCGATTTAGTACTGGAAAAAACCGTTGACCATATTTTTGAATATTTTCACAGACATTTTAATGCTCTAACAAGCAAAAAGATTATTGATCTTTTACCTGTAATTGGTGTGAGCACCAGCTCCATTCCAGTCACCCGGAATCGGTTTCGGGTCAAAAGATACAACCACACCAGCAATCTCTGTGATCCTCTGTTTTTGAAAACACCAAAACTTATGTTTTAAGTTTATATTCTTTAGATCAACAAAAATTAAAAGTGGATGGTTTAAATTATACCTCCAAAATGTAACGAGCGATCCACACTTCATCAGAAGCTGAGATACCGACCGATGGGCCGACTTGGAACTCCCACTGTCTCAACAAATATGATTTAGTTAATCAAAAAGTTTGAAACATTTGGTTCATAGGTGATCTTGTAAACTTTATTGGTTGTTAATTTTACCTGACCCGGCATGACTTCTCCGTTGATCCCACTGATGTTGATTCCAGCATACAAACAAGCCTTGTAGTGAGCATCAACAATGTCTCTTCCAAAAGATTTGTCAGCTCCAATACTGCAGTAGTATGGTCCCTGCAAGAGATAATTCAGACGGTGAGAACAGAGAATCAAAGAAGAACGGTAAACAAACGATAAAAACCCACGAAAACGGAATGTACCTGAGGGCCAGGGTAGCCACCAATGGGCCATCCAAGAGGCCAGTTCACATCCTTCTGCAGCAAAGTGTATTCTTGTTCGATTCCGTACCTAATTAACCGGAAATAGTCACCGATTTACGACCCCCGCAAGAAACCAAAAAAGATACAAAACAAAAACAGGGGAATTTGGATTAACCATGGCACTTCAGCTACAACATCAGGGTTAGCAAAGATCTCAGCTGCAGCATGTCGCTTATTCGTAGGGATTGGCTCGCCCGCAGGAGTGTAAGCATCACACATAACCTAATCAAACCGATAAAAGTCGTTAATCTTTAACTGCTAAAAACAGAACATATGCAAGAAAAAGGAAAAAAAATCTTTACACTCACAAGAATGTTGTTGCCTCTACGGAACGGATCTTTGAAAATCGCTTGAGGGCTAAGAAACAATAACAAACGATTATTAAGACGAATCGAAAAAAGCGAAAGAGAAGAGTCTTTAAAGAAAATCTTGAAGAGACTTACTATAAGATCACTTCACTATCTTGACCAGGAGCTTGACCAGTGCTTGAACCATCATAATTCCATTTCGGAAGCTTCGATGGATCGGTCACTGGTCCTGATAGAGTCTATGTAAAAAAAAAAAACAGAGACTCAGTAATTCAATCTAATCAAATCTTTCCGAGAAAATTACGATTTTTCGATCGAATAACTATAGTTAAAGAAAGATTAAATTACCCTGGCTTTGCTTCTCATGTCCATACCAGAACCACCAACCCTATTTGAATAAAGACCAAATTAGAGATGTAATTACAAAAAGCTAAAAAACCATTGGGACAAAGACAAAGATTGACTTTAAGATTCAAAATCTTTGACTCATGCTCTTGTTTTCCGGTAAGAACAAGAAAATCTAGAGAAACCCAAATGGTTAAAAGCAGAGGAAGAAGACGAACCATATGTATTCAGCGATGATCTTTTCACTGTTGTCTGAGAGGTCAAGGTTAACAAGATCTGCAAGAAGACTCATGGTTGCAAAAAGGAACAAGAAGATTGAATCTTTGTAATGAGAAATACTCAAATCTTTTGAGATTGTGTGTTTTTGGTTTATGAGATGATGTTTTGGAGTTCGTGGTTGTGGTAGTACTTATAGTACAATGAGGATACAGAGAGAAGGTGACGTGAGGATACTCTGTTTTTTGCAAACATTATAATATTAAATAAAATATAATAAAGTAGTTTTTTTTTTAACTAATGAAATAATTTAGTTTTGGTAATCTTTAGTCATTAATTTGATTGTTGACTTATTCTCAGATTTTATATATTAAAATTCTAGTAGGTAGATAATTTATGTAGGAGTTGAATTTTTAATTTGTAAGGGTAGGTATTTTGGAGTTATTGTTATTTACCATTTACTACTTTACAATGTTAACATTGGAAATTAAGTTTGAATGGTTAGCATATAAGGGAAGGTTTGAACTTTGAATAATAAGAGAATGGATGGTAACAAATTAATCTAATAAAATACGTGGAATAAGTGTGATTAAACTGAATAAAAGTTGAAATTTATTGGATTCAATAACACCACAATAGATAGTAACAAATTGGCAGTGTTGGTCCAAAGTTTCCAAATTTTTTTGATGTCCTACGCATAATAACTAAAAAATTAGGTCTTTTGTTAATTATAAAAAAAGAATTCTCCCAAAAAATAGTGTATGACAATGTGAGGTTCTAAACGATTGTTTTACTTGCTTGTCCTCCGGACCAGTTACTAAAACATAAGCCAGTTTTGTCTGCCAAATGTTTTTTTTAAAACCAAATAAGCTATCACTATTTTTTTTGGACAAACAGCTATCACCACACACACACACATATATATATATATACATATAAATATTTTTGTCATCCAAAAATTAATTAAAGCTTAAACACACATATATATATATATATATAGATATATATAACAATATAATAACAAAAGAAAAAGAGTTACTAAAACATATATATGTTTTTCCTAACTCATTTTCTTTTGTTATTATATTATTGGGTATACATCTTAGATTTTGAGTATTAAAATAAATAAAAATAAATTTCGTGAATTTTTTCGGAGTATACAAAAAATTTATATATTTGTATTGAATTTCCCTATTTAATAACTATGATTTATCATAAATTGTCCGAATCGTTCAAAAAAGTATCTTAATTACATTATCTTCTCCATTGATATTAGGTCCAATTACTGAAAAAGAAATGGGCAGACCATAAAAAAGGACGTCGTTTAGATGTTTCAATTCAAACAAAACACGAATATTTCTTTATCCATGAGTGATAGCGAAAGAATAAATAAAAGCAAAACATGTGCATAGGTTGTTGTCCCAATCGAACCGGCTAAACCGGTTAAAAGATAAGTTGGTAGACGATTGTACGGCTTGAGGACGCATCGGACCTACTCTCCATCCCCTAAGTAACCGCTTCCTCTAATGCAAGCCTTACCCAATTGTGAATCATCTACACACTTTTTGTCTTTTTGGTCGAATCTACCCAAATTATTATAAAATAATGAATACAAAATTCGAAGAGGGACAAAAGAGATTCGATTCTTTTGGGCTGTTGTTTTTGGAAGAGATATATATAAACTATTTGATATTTGACATGATGAATATCAGAATATGTGATACTAGAAAATTTGTGTAGAAATGTAGCTCACCTACTAAAATTTTGGGTAGCGAGCTGGGCAAATTCTAAATTTTCGGATCTCCCATGTCGTCTTGGTCTAGTGGCAAAGGAAGAAAAATTTCCGTCGCCTAAATTTGAGTAGCATTATTTGCCACCTGAGTTATTAAAAAAAAAAGATTTTCAGTATTCATATCAAACTTAATTAGAAAAAAGTATTTGGATAAATATGCATGTTTCAGAAAAATGATAAATATAAGTTATCCGACTAGATTTGGTACCGGAAATACTTACATAAGCATATTTTCAATATATTTAACTAAAAATAAAATATTGATAGTTAAAACTCATATTTTTGGAGATATAATTTTTTTTTAATATTTTGGTTTCAAACTCCCAATACGTTATAATATTATATATAATTTTTCTCTACGGTAAGATTTATGTAGGATTATACGTAATTATGTTAACGCTAATAACATAATACATATTTATCTTTTAAGAACATTATGTGACACATCATATTAGTACTATGTTGCATGGAAACTCTCTCAAAGGTCCGTTTCTTGTTTCCGAAATGTTTCAAAAACAGAAACTCTTCAGAAACACGAAAAACGTCACGGAAACGCGTTTCCTAAAAATCTATGTTTGGAAACACATTGGAAACGCGACAAATCCTTTTTATTGAATTTGGAAACTTAATAAATAAAAATTAGAAATAGTAAGATTTATAATACATATAACTAATTTTGGAAGACTCTGAGTTTTATATGATCTTTGATGAAACTAATGAAAATGAAAATGAAAATGCTAGTATAAATTAAATATTTGAACTTGAACCTTTTAATCTTCATCTTTTAGTATTTTAGTTAACCTATTTAATATTGATATTTTGGACTTGTATTGTTTAAACCATTTTATCTATAATATAGTTTTATGTTAGTGTTATATATATATATATATATATATATATATATATATATATATATGTATATGTATACGTTTACAAAACGTTTCCAATCTTTCATTTTAGAAAAAAATCGTTTTCCGTTTCCATAACATTTTGCTTCCGCGTTTCCGTTTTCGTTTCCATACAACAACAATAACTCCAGGGGAAGTCGGCAAAAAAAAAAACTGATATCAATCAAATTGATTTGGAACCACAACAACTACATTGGCCATTTAATTTTAACTACGCAGCTTTTTTTTAATAAAACTTTTAACTACACAACGTTAGCAGCGACATCCATAATTGCACCCACGAACACATATAAAAAGAGAATTGAAAAATAACAAATAATCAATACGCATGTTTAATGTATGCCTCCTTTTCGGAAAAAAAAAGATTACTTATATAGTACTAATATTTAAATTTTAAAGTGTTCTCTAATTAAACTTTTTTCATTGACACTTTTGTACTCGTAGTTAATTCTTAGTTTATTCAAATGCATGTGACTTAATTCTATTTATTTATTTTCGATGAAGAATTGAAAAAACAAAAGCAGATATGCTTTGATTTCTGTTCGTACGTATAATTTGGACCTTCACATTACCAACCAAATGGCCAGTGGCGGATCCATCAATATATTTTACTGGAGGCACTAATTTTTTTTTTAAATCATAAATGTAAGAAAGCAGTTTTATAATATGATGCATCATTATCTTATGAATTATTATTTTTTTCGTAACTTTTTTTTACTTATGTGGACGTCTAATGATAATGGTTTAAGATTAAATTACAAGTATACATAAAGAAGTTATATTTTACAAAACAAATCACCCGTTAAATGTTAATAAACAGTAAAACTATAATAACAAAATATTTACTCTGCCTTCATTGCTAAATGCTACATAAATAGACTTCCACTTAATTAACTGTGTTTTTAGTTTTTAACCTAGTTAATTAGGGATTATTGTTGATTTTGCCATTTTTCATAGAAATCTTTTGAAATTGCCATTTTTACTAAAATCTTACGGATATGCCATTTTCTAACACTTAAAAATATACGTATTTCGGATTTTTTTTGGTAAAAATACGTAGTTTATACAAAATACTAAACCCTAAGAACAACCACAACCGACTAAACCCAAACATAACGAATAAAACGCATGTTAAATCATATTTCCGTAGCCTGAAAAAGGGCAAAATCCATAAACTATTCAAAAAAGGGCAAAATCCACAAATGCCATCCAAAAAAATGGCAAATCCATAATTGATTCAGTTAATTAAGAAACTCTTCTTTTTCTTTTTGTCAAACAGTTAATTAAGAAACTCAAGTGAGAACAAAGAAATAAAACAAACATAAATGTTTTTATGTAGGGTCTGATTGGTAACCAAAAGTTATACAAATTTTTTAGCTGTTAGCTAGAGCTGTAAGTTTTACCGGAATAGTGTAAAAAAACTGAGAGTAAAACTGTTAGTAATGCTTTTGATAAAGCTTTTGTGATTGTTAACTGTTAAAGATGTACATGCTCTACCGCTTTGATAATAGGTTATCATTCAAAGCCGTAGGATTTTATGGAATTGAGAAAGAGGTAAAAGTAAGAGAAAAAATTGATAAGAGAAAGAATCTTCGAAGCTCGAAAGCTACACGGACCAATGAAAAGAAAAAGATTTAACTTACTTGTACAATTCAAACAGTTCAGTTTATTATTGCATCAGCAACTTGCAGTGTTGATGTCGACACTTTAAGAAGTGTAGATGTCGACGCAAAATGTGTTCATTTTCAACTGCAAATAATGTTTATATATAAATATATAGATACGATTTGTTTATAGAAATTGGTAATATAATTTACCATTGTAAAGTAATGATAAGCAATGGTGTCATATTAGAAACAATAACAAAATGTGGCAAGAGATGACGAAAAAAAAAAAAAAACAATAATCATTAAGGCCTTCTTGCCAAGTTTAAATTTAATGCAAGCAAATAAAAAAATCATTAAGAGAAATAATATAAATTTATACTATTATTTAGTCATTTACAATTTAATAAAAACTTTACAATTATATTTATAAATAAATCATATCAAATATAACTTTACCGCCCTTTTCCAGTTTCAAAATGATAGTGGTAAAGAAACTAGCGGTACATAATCTATATATACATTTTTGGATCACAATTAGCAAATAAATCCTGAAGTTGAGAAGTATTTACAATGGCATGCCATTAGCATTAATTATTTAGATTTGTTTTATTTAAGTAAAGATTTTTAAATGAAATTCATTTCTCATATATTTAGCAAAAGTCTCTACAAAATCTTTCCTTATCTATTTAAGTAAAGATTTTGAAATCAAATATGTTCTCAACAATTTACCAAAAATCTCTACACAATCTTTTTAAAAATCTCGACTTAGTTAAGTTCTGATTTTTATCTGCAAAAAAAAAAATTAATAGTAACGAGTGATGTAAAAATCGGGAATGTTGATACTACAATTTCTTCTACTTCTTTTTTTTTTTCATATAATGAAAATTAGTTTTTAGGGATATTTTCTCATAACCTCTAAATAAAACAAAAGGTTTCAAAAGATAGCTTCTCTTTTGGCGGATCGACCCGCAAACCCGCAACTCTCTACGGGCTTATCCGCATGAACCTGCGACCCTTAGTGGATAAAAATATTATTCAAAAAAAAATAACAAATGATGTTTAATTTTACGGGACGGGGTTATATGGTGCAACGAGTTTGGATCTATATTAATATTAAACAATATACTATGGATGAAATCCTAGAATTAAAAATCAAAATTTAATTATAAAATCAGAAACACTAAACAAAATTAACAATATTAACAAAACAAATACAACTTAAAATTTTGCTAAATAATTTTTTAGTTATAAAAAAATCGACCCGCGGTGTACCGCGGGGTAAAATCTAGTTGTAGGTATAACTTATATACTACGTCCACGACAAATACAATACAAATCATCAATTACAGCATATTAGTTCACTAATGTGATGATTAAGGATTAACATATTATTTGCATATCCTATATCCGACTCAAACTCAATTCGACTTAATTTCCGTTTTAATCTATTAAAAATTTAAGATATTCATAGTTTTAAGTTTGATTCGTATACAATATAACAATGATAGATAGACGCAAATAAGAATTACATTACGAAATACTGAATATTTCACCTAGAACATATCATTATTTTTTTTGGTAGGCCCTATGAACATATCATTAATTAATTAAAAGTTGCTGATTTTTTTTTGTACAATGACGTGGTTAAGTCCCTAAGCTGACTAATGGCATTGTTGAATTAGTACATAATTTTCGGCACATTAAATAAAGTTAATATCGCTCCAATAATTGAATTAGAATCTGAATCTCAACTAACTTAATTAGAATATTTTAAAGTCAAATCTGCATATCTAGTGGTTCCATGGACGTCACATTTTATGTCCTCTCGCGATCGAGCCCCCTCATCTATGACTATGCCTACAAATTTGCAGTTTACAAATAGACAACTATTATCATTTTTTGTTATATGTATGCAAAGTAAAAAATTCAAAGCCGACAATGTATTTACAACCATTTTATTATGGATTTTTATATCTTTTTTTACTAGAATTTTTTATAATACTAGTATATAACTCTTAGATCCATAATTGGTTTCCTCTTACATACGCAAGCAGGAGATTAAGGGACAAATGTTAGTCAACTTTGCCTTTTGGAAGAGACTTAAGCCATTGTCACTCTAATTAATCATAGAGGTTAAGGCTTAAATTTGCCCTTAAGTACACTGGTACAGTATACTTATTCTAATCACTTATACAAATTTATAAATTTTTTATTTTCAAATCTAAAAAGAAAACTCAAAATTTCAATTATATATCAAGGATATATATGAAGGCAAACGAGGTTATGATCAGCTTAATATCAAGAAACCTACATTTCATCAATTATACATGTTTAAGGAAATCTAAAAGCATATAAATCTTTTTGGCCAAGTTTAATAACTTTTATTCAAAGTTATGAAAATAGACGTCGTACGAAACTTAAATGCTAAAGTGAGAAATGCGGAGAAGGGAAACCGGAGATGATCGTAAATGTCATATTCTTTTTGGAAGCTTATAAAAAATGGTACCAATTTCCGAATTTATAGCCCCATCACATAAAAGTATTTATATATAGATGCTATTTTTATAAATAACCCTGCCAAAACGTATAGCCTCACATGGTTTGGTAGAACATTTCTAAAAAAGTTAAGTTAACATTTGTTTATGTATAAATTTGCTTGATGGTTGTTCGATATTGGTTTAAGCGAGTGATATTACTAAACCTTGTTCTTTTATGTAGAATTTATTTTGGATTATCCCATAAGTTTACTATTACTTGAAAAAAAGAAATATGTGCACAAACATCTACCTCTGAAAAATGAGTGATCAATTTATAATAACTACATGATTCTATGGTATCTTAAATATTATTTATCCCGTAACTTTATTTACCATAATTCAGTAGACATATATTAATTTAAGACTTCAATTTAGTTTTGGATAATTTTTTTTTTTTTGGTAGGGAGTTTTGGATAATTTTTTGTTAACCTTACTTTAAATTAATTAACACCAGAAAAAGTAATCCAAACCAGAAAAAAAATTGATTAGAAAAGACGAATCAATCATTCTAAATCTAGTAGAATGGACCAAATAACCTGTCAAAATATTTAAACTCCGTGTAACAAAACAAAAAAGGTTCTTTTCATTTTCTAGTTCTTTGATAAGATGAAATTTTAAACTTTGAATGAATTTTTTAGCCCGTTCTACTAGAGTTCAACTTTTTGATCGATGTTGTGGATATTTTTATCTACTATAATAAAAAATACAGTATCTTTTTAAATATATTTGTGATGTTGACAAAATAAAACCATAAATATAAATATACTATATCTATTTTCTTACATAATGTAAAATTTTTTATAAGATTCTTACATAATGTATCAGTGTCATTATTTGACAAAGTCGTTGTTAGCTTAAATAAAACAATCAACAATAGTAATTATATAATTATTAACCAAGTGGTCTTGGCCTAGTGGTGTTTGAGGAGGTAATTCCAATAAGGCACCCGGATTCAATTCCCCTTGGCCACATGGGTATGGATTATGTCTTAGATCCATTTGCATACCCGGTGCGCGAGCCTACCCATGGGTCACGCCCACCCGATGGGGATTAGTCTGGGCTCTGAGGTTTACTCAGTGGCCCGGGATACCCCCGGGTTTAACAAAAAAAAAAAAAAAAAAAAAAAAAAAAAAAAAAAAAAAAAAAAAAAATAGTAATTATACAATTTATAGTATTAAGTTTGACAACGAACATGCATCCAAGTCCACCATATATATGTTGATAAAATAGGTAATTTGTTATTATAAGTTGATTAATTTTTTAACAATAATTTAATTCAGGTTACTTTCGTTTCAGTGTTTTATATCCTCGTCAATAATATACACCAAATGATTACGCAACTCGTTACGTAAATGGTTATATGAATGCGTGCAGTTTTAAATTAAAAACGAAATCGAGCTTAAATTTAAACTCAAAAATACTTTAAACTCTTGTCAGAGGTGAACTAATCAAATCCTGTTGGATTTCCACATACAACAACCGATGGTTAGAAAAACATTTTCAAACTCTAAATAGAGTATTTTGAGAGCTACTGTAACAAAAAGAGAAAATTTGAATAATTATCATAAATTCATAATCCAACAATGCATATATAAGAAGTGGTACGAAATATGAGGGTATAATAAAAAGGTAACAAACAAATGGTTCCTGTTTTATTGCATGATGCATATTTTTCTTCAAAAAAATTTATCTTAAAATAAAAAGTAACATGTATAAATTATAAGATTGCTTTTGTATAGAAACAAAACCAGTCGTTTGCTTTGGTAGAATCAGATGCGAATCACTTTTAGAAGTACTCTTCTTCCTTTATTGTGACTTCTTTATATGTAAGAGTGATTAGTTCTAAATTAAGTAATTATCCATTGGAAAGAGATTATTTTTAGGTATCACCTATGTTTTTAATAGAAACTTTTATTAGAAGATAGTGTTCAATATCATAGATTTCTCTCAATGATTATTTTATAGTTCTAATGCAAGTAATTTATAAAAGAATATAAACATATATTTAACCAAATTAATTTGTTTAGAATTCATCACATAGCCAAACTATATAAAATGTCCAATATTACACGTTTGAATAACTCAGAATACAATCGATGGTGACGTTTTTCCTTGTATTATAATAGATATATTTTTTTATCTTTTAACTAAATTCTTGTTTTTATTGGTTCTGTTACTCAATCGATCAAGAACCCCTCAAAATCTACTTTTACGTCCGTTTTGATCTCAAAAAGATTAAAATCAACTTTAAATCCGAATATATGTATGTGTTATGTGTGTACACCGAGTGAGCATTGAGTCAATTTATGTAATTTTGGTGGACATAGAGAAAAGATGAAACAATAAAATTTGCCTATTATTAGCATAGGCTCATTGGACGGTTGTTGTTATTTCACTTTTTTTCCTCACATTTTACATCTCATCTTCAAGTATTCTATTCTTTCTTCATTTCCCATTTTACATTTTGGCTTTTGTTTTTTCCCTCCTACATTTAGCAACGGATATCCTAATTTCGCCGCCTAAACGCTTGACTAATATGGAAATGACTTCTTGGTAAAAAAATTCCTGCAATTTTTTTTTTCTGAATGTAATGAATTAAATTCAAAAAAAAAAAATCGCTTCTAGATCGAGTATAACGTGTATTTGAGAAAGCTTAATACATAACTTCAACAGACTTTGTGTATAAAATTAGCTTCTTGCCGCAAACCAGATTTGGAGACCCGTATCGTATCTTAGTAAATTGTAATATTTCCTCACAGTAGAATATTCGAATATGCGGCTATAGCAAGTTTACGTTTTAGACCTAGGTCAAATTGTAAATTTACTCTTTTGATAAGTATTATAATTTTATTTATCTTTTCTTTGGTAAATCATGAGTGTAGAGGGTAAATAAAATGAAAGCGCGAAATACAAACACAGTGATAAAAAAAGGCTTTCTTATCACATTTACATTGCCTCAGAAAGAAAACAAATTATAATACACTTTTGAAGTACAATAAAAAATATTATACAATAATGTTAATAATTTTGTTAGATCTTGAAGTTTAAAACTCTTGTTCTCACAGAAAGAGGGATTCTTACATTGTGGCCTTTATTGTCGGTCCAAGTTAAGCTCCCAAAGAGATAATCAGTATTCGCTCTATGAGTCGTGGAGACTTTCACCGTGAAGGTAATCTTGTTAGTGTTGGAACCGAATTCAAGAGTCTCAGGACTCACCTGTAGGTTAATACCTTGAGGCGGTTGGATCACAGCTTTGTAAACCGAACCTACCGGTCCAACATTGGTCACGGTTCTTGTTATTGTGATCTCTTCACTAAGGTATGGGATTGTGATGGAAGGCAAGTTGACATCAAGCATTGATGGAATTGGGGAAGGGCAAGTGTAGATTTTTCCAAGTAGTTTCGAGATGGATGTATTGTCGTAGCCTGCGGAGCACAAGTAATGAACATAATCATCGTGGCCCATGTCATAGACAAGTCCCGGGTCCGCTACTTTGGCGGGGTTTACTAGGCCGCCTCCATAGTCAAATGGGTCGGCAAGTTTGCGCGGGGAACCCTCGGCTGCAATAGGCTCTCCCGATGGGTCGGTTTGCAACGCTGCAATGGTTAAACTGTCATTCTCGGGTGTTCCTTGTGGAGCAAGAGACAAATATTTTTGTGTGAATAAAAGTATGCATATTTACCGGTTGTGACGAGAGCGGATCGGATTGCGGCAGGAGACCAGTCGGGGCGTTTTTGTCTAATAAGTGCAACTATTCCTGACACTACAGGTGTAGACATCGATGTTCCTGACATTAATTCGTATCCTGCCCCTGATGGTACGGCTGCGAGTATACCTGCACCTGGTGCTGCTATATCCGGCTGTACTTAAAAAATTAAAAAAAAAATTAAAAAAAAAAGGAAAATTCTGAAAGTGCTAGACAATTTGAAAGTAAGAGAGCAAAAAGTATCCCACCTTGAGAATGGCAGGAGATAGTGAATTGGGACCTCTAGAGGAAAATCTAGCAACCTTGGTCGCTAAAGGTCGGCCAACGAAAGTCTTGGTGGGACTGATCTTAGCTACTGGCGATCTGCGGAAATCATTCAAGGAAATTTTTATTCATTACATCAAAAAAGTTCATAGTTAGATTTTTCGAGATAAATGTGAAGGAGGATGAGCTTACTTGGTGGTTTGGATGTACAATATAACGTCCATCCCAATTTCGTAGTCTACATAGGCATACGCGATATCACCGCTGCCTGGATCGATACTATCTGATGGCTGCATAGCGAGAATGACGCCAGCAGCGCCATTTGATTGCGCATATTCTATAAAATCGTCTTGAAATTTGGCTGTTTGGAAGAAAAACAAGATTTTTCCATTAGCTTTACCGGCTTGCATATCCTCTTTTGTCAGGTCCTCGAAGTAAAGAAGATCTGTGAATCCAACTTCTTTTCCTGTGTATACACCTTCTTGACCCTGAGAATAACATCCCACAACAAAAGAGTTAAATGAACTGTCACAGTTACTTGTGATACAAGCAACCAAATACGTACGAGTAAGGTTATATTGTTTCCAAGAGTGATGGGCGTGAAGAATTCTCTGTCCATGGTCGTAGCCGCGACGGTTATGAGCCACGGAGCAACATTAGAGATGGTTTGTTTTTCAGGACCATCATTCCCTCCAGCACATACTACGGGAATTCCCTTTATAACAGCGTGGAAAGCAGCAATAGCGAAATCACTCCTATCAACCTCGAATTCAACTGGTACTTCAGATCCGAGCGAGAGCGATAGTACATCGACACCATCACGGATGGCATGGTCTATGGCCTTTACAATATCCGGTGTGAAACACTCCTCGTTGTTCCAACACACTTTGTAAGAGGCTATACGGCCCCGCGGTGCACTTCCTCTAGCGGTTCCTTGAGCTAGACCATGCACGTTTGCGTCTGGGACGAAAGAACCCACGGCTGTCGATGCACAGTGGGTTCCGTGTCCAATTTTGTCTAGAGGGGACATGACCTCACCTTTCTCTACCGCGTTGAACGCTCCGTTATACTTATTCATGAGACCCTTTGAGTAGTACGTTGCTCCGATCAACTTTCGGTTACAGCTCGATGCGTTGAACGCTTCTCCTGAAACACATTGTCCTTTCCAACGTGCCGGGATTGGTCCAATACCGTTGTCGTTGAATGACTTGGAGTCTGGCCATATTCCTGAGTCCAGAACTCCTACAATTGCTTCACTTCCCATATCGGTTTCATGGAGGAGACCGGTTGGAGCAGTTGGAGTGAGTCCCAAGTAATCATTAACCCTTGTTGTTTTTAGTTTCATATTCTTACTTCTCGTTACGTGAACAACATCCGGATGCTCTATTACAAATCCAAAATAGAAGTTGAGTATTAGATAGTTTCTCTTTTTTTACTTCTGAGTTTGACCTAATTCTTGTTCGACAAGTCTTCTCAAGAAAAACGTTTCAAATTTACCTGAAAGTTCCCTTGCTTGAGATGATGTGAGTTTCGCTGCAAAGCCTGAGAAACCATGTCTGTAACTATAAATCATAGACTCACGGGAAGCTTCTTTGCTGCATTATCAGTCAAAACATATAAATTCCAATTATTTTTGCCGCAACATCGATTATCTTTGTAAAGCATATACCGAAGCTCATCAATCATTACCTTCCAAGAAGCGGTCCGAGAATATCATGATGTGATTCAGTTACAAGATTAGGATCATCATGTTGCCTCTCACCCAAATGCACCGTGTAAATCTAAATATAACATCATCAAGAAATTAAAATAGCGAAATTCTTCGCATTTTCGCAGAACAAAAAGAGCGAAATTTGACCATTTATAACGAACCTGGCTTTCCTCATTGGCAGCAGTAATTAAGGCTATGTTGAAGATTAATACTAAACCTATGAACACAACTACAAAATGCTTCTTATTATTTGAAGCAATCAGAGAAGACAACTCCATGTTTTGTCTGGGATTTAAGGAGTTGTTGTTGAGGTAGATTCTTTTCCTAGAAGAATCTTCCAAGATTATAATTTTTAAAAATTCTTGAACCTCCTCAACAATGTCCTCTCTGATTGCATCCCAGAAGCATAATGATTGTGTTCAAGTCATCTCGTATTTAAATTGATGAAAGATTTGGTTACGAATGTTGGGAGTTTTTTTTAGCGTACAACGAAGATAGGACATGACACCAAGCTAATTTTGTTAAATTGGGAATAGTCTGGTTTATGGTTTAGAACTAAAACGGATTTGTTTCTTTTTGTATAATTATTGGTGTAGAATTAATTAACACGAGTCAAAACTTAAAACTGTTTTTTTCATTACCTGTCAAAACCATGCTACGATAAATGAACTTGAGCATATTGTTTAGGTTAACATATTAAGGTTAATTACATTGTAGTTTGTAATAATATAAAGTTTAAGAAATTTTAATTACAAAAACTACCTTGAGGAGTAAAGTTCCCGAACTATAAGTTTGTTATAGGTATTCAAGAAAACATTAGAAAATTATTCTAATAGTTTGTGCTAGTGTTATCTGATCAGATTCAAATTTACAGGTAAAAATACTGTATAATTTTGTAAATAATCAATAAAATTTACTAATAACTGTTAATCTTCTGGCAAACTAATTAGGTGCAATGCCAAAACAAAATCCAAATTAAGCTTAGAGTAAGTCAATGTAACTATATGATATTTCAGATATTTTTTGATGGCAATTTGTTTATTATATAACCGTCTATGGTATTTTTAGAATCTAGTTAATTAGTTTTTTTTTTGATAAGAAGTTAAGTAGTTTCATAGTATCATTGTTTGTTATATATGGAACAAAAGAAAAACATGTCCAAGCAACTTGTTATGCAATCAGAAAAATCATTGTTCAAGAAAAATGGACAATTCTTTTCTGATTGCAGATACAAGTTCTCTGGTCATCGGTCTCGTGTTAATCCTGAACGGTTTGTTTATCTCTGCGGCACAACAAAATGGATTGAACAAGGTATGTTGCGTTCTCCATCTTTTGAGTAATAATGCTATAAGTGGCATATGAAGTATATTTTCGTTTTTCGATAATCGACTTCAGATTCACATTGTACACTTGGGAGCAAAGCAACATGATACCCCTGAGCTGGTTACTAAGTCACATTACCAAATTCTTGAACCACTTCTTGGAAGGTACAAATATTGATCGATGCTATAGTGAAATATTGAGAATCCTTTTGAGGGTATATTCATTTTCTTCTTTGATATTTTGTGACATAGCAAAGAAGCTGCAAGGAATTCTTTAGTATACAATTACAAGCACGGTTTTTCCGGCTTTGCAGCGAAACTTACCGCCTCTCAAGCAAAGAACCTTTCAGGTAGTTCAATTTTCTTTCTGTTCATTTAAACGCATAAGACATTATGAAATCACGGCCTGATTTGTATCGTATCAGCGCATCCCGAGGTTCTTTGTGTTGTACCAAGTCGAGTAATGAGGTTGAAAACAACAAGGACATTTGATTACTTGGGACTTTCGCATACTTCTCCAAAAGGTCTTCTATATGAAACCAAGATGGGAAGTGAAGCTATTATTGGGGTCATAGACTCAGGGATATGGCCAGAGTCACAGTCATTTAACGACACAGGTCTAGGACCGATCCCGAAGCGTTGGAAAGGAAAATGTGTGTCTGGAGATGGATTTGACGCCAATAAACATTGCAACAAAAAACTTATAGGGGCAGAGTTCTTCACTGAAGGTCTTCTTGATATCACGGATGGGCAATATGATTTTGCTTCAGAAGATGAGTCTAAGTCCCCTAGAGATATTGAAGGCCATGGGACACATGTGGCTGCAATTGCTGCTGGTTCTTTTGTGGCTACTGCAAACTACAAAGGACTAGCTGGAGGAATCGCTAGAGGCGCTGCTCCTCATGCACGTATAGCTATGTACAAGACATGTTGGAAGAGAGTTGGATGTATAACTTCTGATATGCTCAAAGCAATTGATCATAGTATACGCGATGGAGTTGATGTTATATCCATTTCAATTGGTACTGACGCCCCTGCAAGTTTTGATATTGATGAAAGCGATATTGCATTCGGTTCTTTCCAAGCCGTGATGAAAGGCATTCCCGTTGTTGCTTCTGCTGGAAACGAGGGTCCTAACGCTCAAACCATTGATAATGTTGCTCCATGGATCATAACCGTCGCCGCTACTTCCCTCGACCGTTCTTTCCCTATACCAATCACTCTTGGAAACAATCTAACTATTCTCGTATGATCAAACCTTTTGATTCTTTTTTTTTTTATGGTTAACCAAAAAGTTCCGGCTAGAATGTGATTCTTTGTTCTCTTTGACTGTTTTCAGGGTGAAGGTTTAAACACATTCCCAGAAGCTGGATTTACTGATCTTATATTATCAGATGAAATGATGAGCGCCTCTATCGAACAGGGGCAAACTCAAGGGAGCATTGTGCTAGCGTTTACGCCAACCGATCAGGCAATAAGAAAGGCGAATAGTATAGTAAGAGCTGGATGTGCTGGTATAATCTATGCACAATCTGTAATTGATCCTACGGTTTGCAGTGACGTCCATGTTCCGTGCGCCGTGGTAGATTACGAATATGGAACTGATATCTTATACTATATCCAGACTACAGGGTAATGAATCTTCACCAACTTTCTTTATCATCATCATAGCTTTTTTTTTGTCCTAACACATTTTGATTCTGTAGTGTGCCTAGAGCAAAAATAAGCCCTTCCAAGACACTCATTGGCCGGCCTATTGCATCTAGAGTGCCTCGGTTCTCTTGTAGAGGACCTAATTCAGTTTCACCAGCAATTCTTAAGGTTTGTTTAGTAATTAACTTCTTTTCTTTTTTTCTTTTTCCTGTTGTTGTTGTTTTTTTTCCAAACACATTGATCCAAGTGTTGATGAAATTTGGGACTTTGTTATATAATAATGCAGCCAGACATAGCAGCACCGGGTGTTAATGTTCTTTCTGCAGTAACTGGTGTGTATAAGTTCATGTCGGGAACATCAATGGCGACTCCTGTTGTGTCGGGAATTGTTGGATTACTAAGACAAACCCGCCCTGACTGGTCTCCAGCTGCAATCCGATCCGCTCTTGTCACAACAGGTTCTTACTTTTAAAACTATATACCCAAAAGGCCAAAATAAAGAGTGTGTAATCCGGATTTTAAATCAATTTGAGTTCGAGTTATATAATTGCGGTTTTAGAAAGAAATAAAATTATAGGAGTCAATAGAATAGAATCTATTATGAATCAGTTTGGTATGAATCCGGCTTCAGCTGAGGTTATTCGGCTTTCGAAAAATTGTTACAAAATCGAAACTGCATAATACATTTTGGTACGGTTTTGATTCGGGCTAGGTTTTTAATCAAACATATCTCTTATTTTCAAAAATTATGTTTCAATTTTTTTGTTTAAAAGAGGCTCTAAACATCTTTACTTTCTATGTTTCCTGTAATCGAAATGCAGCATGGAAGACCGATCCATCTGGAGAGCCAATATTTTCAGAGGGATCAACGCGTAAACTTGCTGACCCATTTGACTATGGAGGTGGTTTGATCAACCCGGAGAAAGTAACAGACCCGGGCCTCATCTACGACATGGGTATCGATGACTATCTTCATTACCTTTGTTCTGCGGAATACGACGATGCATCCATTTCTAAACTACTTGGTAAAACATACAAATGCACTTTGCCAAAGCCATCGATGCTCGACTTCAACTTGCCATCAATCACAATCCCAAGTCTCACTGAGGAGGTCACTGTGACTAGAACTGTAACAAATGTTGGACCGGCCAGTTCAGTCTACAGACCCGTGATTGAGTCTCCTTTTGGTATCGAGCTTGATGTGAATCCGAAGACTCTTGTGTTTGGTTCCAACATAACGAAGATTACGTTTAGTGTGAGAGTGAAAACGAGTCATAGAGTGAACACTGATTATTATTTTGGGAGCTTGTGTTGGACTGATGGAGTTCATAACGTCTCTACTCCTGTTTCCGTGAGAACAAAGATCTTGAGAAATTATGTTTGATCATTTTTTACGTGTAACTATAGTTTGTTTTATTTCGTAATGAAATTCATTCTTCATCTTTGAGATTTTTCGTCGGATAAATCAGATAATTTGGTTTCCACATATATCAAAACGTTTTCAAGCTTTTGATTATTATTATAAACGGAAAAGGTGAATTTTTTTGTAAGTGTTCAAATGATAATCAATTTATTTCGATCTTTCACAAAAAAAAAAAAAACTTCGTATAAAAGATCAAATGATTACAAGACTTGAGAGTTTAGCAAACTCAAAGTTTTATTACAGAATAGCTAAAAACATTTGAAAAAGTATTATAACGATAGACAGGATAATCCGACGGTAACACCATGAGATCTCTGAGAGGCAAAAGTTGTGAGACAAATTGTCACATGGAGGCCAAAGATAAGTCAGAACCACATCAACGAGCGTGTCATGAAGTGAGAGATTAGCCACTGTCGAAAGACGTTGTACGTTGTAGATGAATCTAAAACCATGATGAGAAAGTTACTCAAGTTAAGAGAGACGGCTAAAGAGTTTCATATGATGAAAATACAAAGTGGAAAGAACACTTCATTCTGGTATGACCAATGGTCCGGCCTGGGGAAGCTAGCAGACGTTCTTGGAGGTAGAGGCTGCATAGATTTTGGGATTGTGAAGCACACAACGGTTGAAGACGTCTTAACCACTCACCGGAGCAGAAGACATCGCGTGGAGATCCTAAAAAAAATTGAAGCAGAGATTGTTGAACTGAAAACAAGTAGGAAGCAAGGAGTTGATGATGTGAACTTGTGGAAATGTAAAACAGGTTTCAAAGCTCGGTTCTCAACTCGTGAGACATGGAAACTCCTCAGAATTGGAAGACCAACATGTGCTTGGGCAAACGGAGTGTGGTTCTCCCAAGCCACACCAAAATTTGCTTTTATCACTTGGCTTGCTATGCACAATAGGCTTTCAATGGGAGACCGAATGGAGAAATGGAATACCCGAGTCAACACCTCTTGCATTTTGTGTGGAGGACTGCTGGAGACAAGGAACCACATCTTCTTTCGCTGTCCCTATACTGAACAAGTTTGGGAGAAACTCACCAAAGGTCTACTAAACAATTGCTACACCTCGGACTGGGCACAAATTCAAGCCCTCATCTCAGGTACAACGCTAGCTCAACAACCCCTTATGCTCTTAAGATACACTCTTCAAGTTTCAGTTCATTCGATATGGAGAGGAAGGAATAACCGTAGACACGGCGAAAACCCTTCACCAGCCACTCACCTTCACAAGTTCATGGATAAAACAATCCGCAATCGCATAAGCAATCTTCGAAACATGGGGACAGGAAAATATGAGGACCTCCTCATGCTTTGGTTCTCTTCTCGAATTTAATGTATACATCATAAACTCTATATTTTTTTTCAGCTAAGCCACACATGTTGTAACAAAGGTTTTTTTGATGAATAAAATTTAACATTCATTCAAAAAAAAAAAAAAAAAAAAGAATCCAAAACCATGGAATGTTTTCGGCATTGAAGTTAAAAAACTGACTAATTTCCCTAACTGTCTTACTACTTTGTGTAGAGTGTCTTGTGTTGGTGAGACTTAAGATAATCGGCGGAGACACACACTAAAGTTGATGAGTTTGACCTTATAATAGAACAAAAATTTGACCTAAGTGACACAACGAATTTTAACATACATTTTCTTAGATTTTACAATAAATAAAATTCCAAACAGAACAAAATCAAAGAATAGAGAAGGAAAACATTTAAGAATGGATATCAATTTTCGATTTTCAAAGTAGGTACTTTTAGTGTAAAGATCCTTGTAACTCCGACTATATATGCATAAGATTTGAAGAAAAAAATGTATAGGTGTATTATTAGATTTTTCTTACATGGATTCTATGTTATATAAGTTTTTGTTGTGATTACTTCTGATACATATCTTACTTTTTTTTTTTCTTACTCATCTTTTTTTTGTTGAAATATCAAATTTACCTCAAAAACAGAAAGAAGTTCATATACAAGTGAAAATAATGAAATAAAAGAAATAAAGTTTAGAAAAAACTATAGTTCAAGCACATCATATTAATCTCACTTCAAACCAACGACGAATGAGCCCTTTAAACTTATGAGGAGTCTTGTAATCTAAGGACATTATACTATCATGTTTCATATAGCCTTGTCAATGTAGCAAGTGATTTGGGCCGTACTCATCTGTCCTTGGTGATGACATCTTGAGTCTCTTTCTCTCCAAATATGATATATGGTGGTTGGAGACACACAAGAATAAGGATGAAGTCTAAATAATTATAACTGGTAGAGATGAGGTGGGTGATCAAGTCTGTTCAATCTGGACTTGCAGCATAGGGAAGAAGGTTGACATTAAGGTTTAACCAAGTAATGTATGTGAAGGGCATGCAAAAAATAAATGATCTCTAGATTTTTCATGCTCACAACAAAAATACTTATAATTTTATTTAATAGCGATAATAGTATATGAACCGTTATTGCTATTTAAGTTAGATAGAAGTAGAAATACATAACATTTTAGGTTAGATATTACATCACCAAAATGTTAACTTAGACGGCATTAAGATTGAGAATATGTCAAACGACGTCGTATTGATCGTTTTGTTACTTATGTTAAATTTTTGTTCTATTAAAATATCAAACTCATTAGCTTTAGTGTATGTATCCACCGATTCTCTTTAAACAAACATTCTGAAACATATCTTAAGAAAGTTCGTGTGAAATTTTGACTGTATCAACGAAGAGAATTCAAATTCGATTAAACTATTTGTGAAAAGTATGTGCTAATAAAACAATGTTTATGTTTTTCACATTCATTTGATTTCATTTTAAGTTTTCAAATATTTTCATAAAATTTTGGTTGTTTTTATCAATAAATATTTTCTGGTTATCTCTCCCTTATGTCTTGTTAATTTGTTTGTTTGTTCCTTTGTTTTTTTTTCTATTGTTTGATTTTTTTGTCTATCATTTTTTATAAAAAATTTTAATCTATAAATAATATATATATATATATATATATATCTTTAAAGTGGGAGAATAATCTGTTTCATACCCCGTCCAATCCAATCTGAAAGGTAGAGTATATGAAAAAATAAAAGAAAATAAATTTCTCCATATGCAAGTTCTCTGTATGGATCTAAAAAAATTTAATTTTAAGATTAGGATATCCAGATTAGAATAAGATCTACTTTCAAATATAACTTTATTAAAATATATGTATGATAAATATCACTATTAAAAACTGTTTCATGTGTCTTAGAAAAAATGTGTGTTATTTGTAGAATAACCCTAATAGTTGTTTTTAAAATAAAGTGAAAAAATTAAATGAAACTTATTTTACAAAATGAGCTTTAGTTAATAATATTATTTTAATAATTTATGCCAATTTCTACGTGTCTGAGATCTTGATACCCTAGTAATATCTTGGGTGTTCAAATTTAATTTTTTGAAATTTCAAAGCATACGGTCCAGCCCGTACCCAACTCTAGTTGTTCTTCAATTAATTTTTGTAATTTCATATTACTAATTATGAATTTTTACATTGTTTTCCCAAAACCAAAAGTGTATATAAGATCTGACTTATTTTACCATAATATTATACTAGTCAACTAGAAGATTTATTATCTCTCTCGTTTTACTATTTATGGTGTAAATTTTTAGTCAAACATAATAATATGCTTGACTGAAAACTTATACAATAGAATTGTAAAATGGAAAAAATAAGAAATATTTTATTTGACTGATATAATATTATGGTAAGATAATTTAAAATTTTGATTATTTACAAAAATAATAAATGTTTCTACAAATTATAAATGTTACCGTCTATATTTCTTTCCTTTCTTTTGACTTTTTCACCGATTATTTAAGATGATAGAAAACAACTAAAGTTCTCACCATTCCAACTTTTACTTTCTCTATCTTTGAGTTCCCAAATATTTTTGTTAAAATTGTTTCATTTAGATTAAGCTTCTGTGTGTTTTTCAAATGCATATTTTTCTTGAGCGGTAGCTTGTGTACGGTAGTACTGCACAGCGGGTAGATTTGAAATATGTATGCACATAAAAACACATAAAGAACTCAAAGTATGCAGACATGGCAAAGAATAAAGTTGCAAATATTATCAAATAATGTTATAATCAAATGGTTTGAAGGGCCAAATTGATGTATGTCACATGTATTTTAAGTGAATATATTTAAAATAAATGTCACATATGTTAATTTTGGCCTTTCTAATTCTTTAATTATATCATTGTTCGATAACATTAGCAGCTTTATTTTTTGTTACATCTACATTCTTTGAGTTGTTTTGCGTCCTTTTAGCATAGGTATTTCCAAAGTTACTGATTGTGAAGTACTACAGTGCACAAACTGCAGCTAACGGCATCAATAATTATTAATGAGACATAAATTGAAGTAGATTATCTAAATCGATCTATTATCTAAATTTACAAGAAAACTCCACAGTACTTCAAATGGGAGCCACTGGCTTACCAGAGTTTGGTTGGGTTTTTGGCTTTTGTTCTTTTGGTCTTTTACAGACGCACGAGAGAGAATCTCAGACTTTAAACAGAAGCAAAGAAAAGCGGACGAAGTGGCCCTTTCCGACAAAAACGTTTCGCGTCCACTCCTCTCTTCTACACATTCCAAGTGTCGTTTGGCTAGTAGTCCAGCATGAGCTACTTAGTTTTGTTTTGCCAACGAGCTAACTTTATTAGAACTACATAATGCACCACTTTGACATAAAAATTTAGTATTAATGATTATAAATAATAAGAACTTTGTAACTTTTCTTAAGAAAAAAAAAAAAACTTTGCATCATTTGTTTATTGGAAAAAGGATTGTAAATTTGTAATCTTGCTAATATTATTTTCTCCTCTCTCTAGCTCATGTAGAAATTAGATCAATTTTATATAACTAATGGATTCTCAATAGAGATTCTCAACGAAAGAGTAGACTAATTTCCGAAATACATAGAAGTTGGATATATTTACTATTTATAGTATTTATGTTCTATATATATATATATATATATATATATATATATATATTTTCGACTCATAGTATGTTAATTTCTATGAATTAAAAAAAAATTATTTTTATCTTTTAACTACTAAACTAGCATGAATTAATTGAACTGAAATATTCTATTCTATATTTTTATAGTATTCTAACTCAATTTTCAAAATAATATTGACGGCGATCTATGATAATATTATATAGTCTAGGTGTTCGAAATATATCACATAATTTTACATTATGAATTACATTCGTGTATATACAATCTAATTTTACACGACTACATGTACCTTTAAAATTAGGTATACATATATATATATATATATATATATATATATATATTTATGTTTTTTTTGATTAAATGGAACATCACTCTACTAAATATACATTTATAAATATTATGTAGACATGTATATTACAATGTTTAAATGTAGTTAACAGAACTATTAGAATATATTCATAAGTTGTGGGCTATTATTTCAGATGGATCTTTAAAGTGTGTTTAGATTCGCACGTTTTATATTTAAATTTTAGTAAAAAAATATTTTAAAAAACGATTGCTGATTTGGAAAACCAAAGTGAAATGAAATAAGAAAAAAAGTTTAACAAAAATTATTAAATATGTGATATTGTAAATAAATTTTATTTTGTTAACAATATAGATTATACTTAATTTAAAAATAATATTTAACTAATATAAAACTAAACATAAATTTTGTTGTTTTTCTAAAAAAGAACTCTACCATTGTATGACAATGAAATATAATAAAAAATTGAGTTATGCTATAATACATATGGATTTCATCAATTCATCAAAAAAAATTTGTGATCCTTTTTCAGTTTTAAAATGAAAACAGATTTATCCTCCTGAGAGCAATCTCATGCTCTAGTCAGAATGAAACAATGTGATTGGTATATAAGACAAATATTACGGGAAGATCTAGGAGACTTAGTCTATGTGTGGTGTTTGTATTGGTGGCTAGAAAATCACTCCCAACAAAAACCATTTTAACATTTCAAAATAATAAAATGTTTTCTTTTGTCAAATAAACTTAACCATAAACTCTTAAAGCTACAATATAGTATTTAACATTTTAAGGTATTGAACACATATATTTATGCACACACACAATACAATATATAAATTTAAGATAACAAGAAAATAATAAAGAAATGAAGCTTTATTATCATATCCATGGATTTAAATATAAAAACATGGCCAAAAAAAGGAAAATGGACCACCTGTGTGTGAACCAGATATGAAAAGGTTGAATTATAAAATCTTAGTGCTCAAACTTTATCCTTACATTCTTTTTGCTCTCTTTATAGATAACCTATAGACACATACACACATACATATATCAGTATGCATATATAAAGGTGGTTGCCAAGCATACCCAACTCTCTCTTCAACTTGCAATAACATTTACTCTCTCAGGACAAAGACAGAGAGATAGATACCCTAAAAACAGAGTATTGTCATAAAAACAATTCAGAGAGAAAGAGAGGGAGAGAGAGAGAGAGAAATGGGAAGACAACCATGCTGTGACAAAGTAGGGTTGAAGAAAGGACCATGGACTGCAGAAGAAGACAGGAAGCTTATAAACTTCATCCTTACCAATGGACAATGTTGTTGGAGAGCTGTTCCTAAGCTTGCTGGTCTTCTTAGGTGTGGCAAGAGTTGTAGACTTCGTTGGACTAACTATCTTAGACCAGACCTTAAGAGAGGTCTTCTCTCTGATTATGAGGAGAAGATGGTCATTGATCTCCATTCCCAGCTCGGAAATAGGTTAACAAACTTTTCTTACTTGAGCTTTAAGTTTCGATATGCTCTGTTTTTGAGGTTTTGTTTTTGTATGTGAAGGTGGTCAAAGATAGCTTCTCATTTACCAGGAAGAACAGACAACGAAATCAAGAATCATTGGAACACTCATATCAAGAAGAAGTTAAGGAAAATGGGGATTGATCCTCTCACTCATAAACCACTCTCTATCGTCGAACAAGAAGACGAAGAACCCTTAAAGAAGCTGCAGAAAAATCTAATGCCTTTACAAGAAACAATGGAGCAGCCTTTAGAGAACAACATCAAGAACATGTCAAGACTTGGAGAGTCTTTAGATGATGATCAATTCATGGCGATAAATCTTGAGTATGGTGTTGAAGATGTCCCTCTGATTGATCCAGAGTCTTTAGAGCTTATTTGCAGCAACTCAACAATGTCTTCATCCACGTCTACGTCTTCGAATTCTTCTAATGATTCGAGTTTCTTGAAGGATTTGCAGTTTCCGGATTTCGAGTGGTCCGATTATGGTAATAGTAGTAATGATAATAATAATGGTGTGGGCAACATTATAGAGAACAATATGATGAGCCTGTGGGATATTGATGACTTTAGCAGTTTGGATTTGCTGCTAAATGATGAGAGTTCTTCCACTTTTGGGTTGTTTTGAATTCATTCTAAAGTATATGGTTTCTTTTGTAAAAATTGGAAACTATGGGGGACAGAAAAACCTAAATAATCTTCTTTACTCTTATTTTTTGGGGATTTGAAAGAACGTTTTACTTGAGAGAAATTTAGAAAAGTAAAGTATATTTATTTGTACAGACAAAAAGAGTTAAGAGAGAAATGTGTCTTGTGTCCATTTCTTTCTGCTGCTTTGTATTTTGGGTTCCATAATTCCACGTGTTCAGGCTTACTATCACCGCATGTAAATAAAAATAATACTCTTTTAGTTTCCTTTTGAGGCATATGTCTTTCATAAATTCTTTAACAAAAAAAGTAATTAATTAATAGTAAATATTATTACCATTATACAATTTATTTTTAAAGTTGTAAAATGCCTCAATAGTTAAACATATTCTATATAGGAAAACTTCAAATTGATCTATCTATTAAAAGATGATTTCGAACATTATGTAACATAAAAAAAAGGGTCTATGTGGTGATTTGCATGTATATATTCATCTTTTGAAATTTTCACAATTAAATAAAAAAAAGATGAGGTCCACATAATTAGATTTAGGTGAGAGAGATGAGGTGTAACGATCTGCTTAGACTATGACTTCCATGAAAGTCTTGAAGATTACAGTGCCCCCAAATTGTGGTTCTTGAGTAAGATGTCAACTTAATTTTCAAATTTTTATTATAATCCTATTTTTCAATTTCTTAATATAAATTATATATTATTTTTGACAAGAAAAATATATATTATATATTATATGTAATTGGTCGCTTTATGTTTAAACTGTAACCACACCGGGTCAATCAGTCATATTTGTTTCGTATAAATTTTTGTTTTTAACGTTATCAATAATTTGTACCAAAACCTGAACTTTGGCTTTGGGAAAGATAGTGAGGGATTAAACTAGGAATTAAATTATATGACGAAATTTTTCCTCTAAAATTAATTCACATTATGTTTTGCTTTAAATATTAAGATAAACACATCATATTTCAGACAAGAATTCAAAATATATAATTTGTTTTAACAGAAAAGATTAGTTTTCTATTAGTGTGTGTTCTTTCTCTCTAGTTATTTACGCGCGAAGCAAAAAAATACACTACTTCTCTTACCAAATTATGTGTCAATCTTTTGAGAATGATAACAATAATATAATACCTTTTTTTTTTTTTAATAATATAATACCTTGCATAGTAGAAATGTCATTTGTGAAATGTTTATCTATATAAACCAGTAATTGTAAAACTCCACCATAGATTATATTTTGTAAGTTTTATTTCTTTTGGGTTGTCTCCTTTGTGATTTTGATATCGCCTAAGAAATATTTAGAATGATAAAATAATGCATATATGTTTTAAGAAAATGAATATGATTGATGAAAGGTTATTTAAGCATTTGTAAGGTAGCTCATATACATCTTTTCCTTTGTCTTCACTTAGAAAAATCTAAATGTTTTTTTTTTTATTAAAGAAATCTAAATGTTGTTTTCGCTTGTAATCTAAAACCGTAGAATACGAGTAACAATGACTTCAACCAAAATTCATATACGTTTCTTTATACGTCTTTGTGTTTGGTCCTCAGTTTTGACATTGGACATAAGCGATGACCATAAGCGATTCTTTAGAAATTTATACGCATGCACATTTTATTATTCAAATGAAAATGATGGAACTTTTGTACATGGTGTTCCAAGAAAAGTCGAAATTAGATTAAGTTCGACATTTGTATGAGCTATCTTATATAATATGACAAGGTTTTTTTTAGACAAGCTCTGAGAAATTGCCATTTGGCACTCTATTTTTTCGACATGTGTCAATTTTCTTTTCTAATTTTTATGCATTAAATTCATTCATTTAATTTAAAAAACGAAAAAAAATGGAAACATTAATGCTAATCTAAAGCTCTAAATTGTTTAAACAATTTTTTTATTTAGTAGTTTCACTCTATGTTTTCTTTTTTTGGGTAAACATATACTAAATATGAGTACTAAATTCATATCTCACGTGTATTTTTTTAATACACATTTATTAATATAAAAATAATTACAAACAATATTTTGATTATTCAAAAAGGAGAGGGTTTTACTCTTTTTCTTTTGTCTAAAATATTGTTTCATTTTTAGTAGTTTTACTCTATGTTTTATTTTTCGGGTAGACATATGCTAAATCTAACTACTAAACTATATCTTGTGTACTTTTTTAATACACATTTATTAAAATGAAACAAACTAAAAGAAGATTATGATTATTCAAAAATCATATATATAAAAAAGGCTTTTACTCTTTTTCTTTTTCTTTTGGGCCATTTAGCACTCCCATTAAATATATTATTTAATATTTGATTTACATTTAAATTTTCATACTATTAGTGTAAATAGTGCTTACATAAATAAAATCTAATTTTTTGGACGTTTCGTTTGTTTATGTTACATTTATACCACTAAATGAATTACATTGACATTTTATACGTTATGTTGGACGTTTCTATTGTTAAGTTTGTTTAGCTAGGTGCTATAATGCATTCATGACCAGATTAATTACAATAAATACATTTTAAAACCGTAATTAAAATGAAGTGCGTTAAATCTAAAATAATGTCTCAATTGATTCCATATAAAGTTCAAACAATATCTAATTTTACTATAGCCTACCAAAAAAAAAAAAAATCTAATTTTACTATAAATCCTGTCTAATTTTATTATAAATCCAATGCTTACATAGAATTTCTCCCTCTTAAAAATATGTTGACTTGTATTTGGAATCAACTACAAGGATGCAAAAGAAAACAGACCAGTGATCACCATAACAGTACGATTATCACACCAAATCGGGAACCCACTGAAGAATCTGTTTACAAAGCCCAAATCAGTGTTTATGAGTCATGATTTAAAGGTTTGTGTAATGTTTTGTAATGTGGTTTGTTTTACTTTAGAAGTTAGAACTATAATTGGAAATCGTTAGTGATGAACATGAGCCCAATGCTCAACTCTGATTGCACAGTCTTTTTGCCTTTCAACATATACTCATAATATTCTAGCCTTCAGTCCCTTAGATTTTTTTCACTTTAGTCCTCTTTTTCAACTATAATATATTTTAAGTTTTATGTTTCGTGAACTTGTCTTTTTCTGGGTTTTAATGTTCTTCATATAAAATTTCTTTTTCTTTTTATGTTTCGTGAACTTGTCTTTTTCTGGGTTTTAATGTTCTTCATATAAAAAAGGCTTTTACTCTTTTTCTTTTTCTTTTGGGCCATTTAGCACTCCCATTAAATATATTATTTAATATTTGATTTACATTTAAATTTTCATACTATTAGTGTAAATAGTGCTTACATAAATAAAATCTAATTTTTTGGACGTTTCATTTGTTTATGTTACATTTATACCACTAAATGAATTACATTGACATTTAATACGTTATGTTGGACGTTTCTATTGTTAAGTTTGTTTAGCTAGGTGCTATAATGCATTCATGACCAGATTAATTACAATAAATACATTTTAAAACCGTAATTAAAATGAAGTGCGTTAAATCTAAAATAATGTCTCAATTGATTCCATATAAAGTTCAAACAATATCTAATTTTACTATAAATCCTGTCTAATTTTATTATAAATCCAATGCTTACATAGAATTTCTCCCTCTTAAAAATATGTTGACTTGTATTTGGAATCAACTACAAGGATGCAAAAGAAAACAGACCAGTGATCACCATAACAGTACGATTATCACACCAAATCGGGAACCCACTGAAGAATCTGTTTACAAAGCCCAAATCAGTGTTTATGAGTCATGATTTAAAGGTTTGTGTAATGTTTTGTAATGTGGTTTGTTTTACTTTAGAAGTTAGAACTATAATTGGAAGTCGTTAGTGATGAACATGAGCCCAATGCTCAACTCTGATTGCACAGTCTTTTTGCCTTTCAACATCCCTTATATATTAATTGAGAAGCATTATTAAAAAATAACCTTACTTTTACGTGTGATTAACGAAAATGCCATGCTGACGTGTCGCGGTTACAGAGCTCCTCAAGTCATTTAATTAATTTTCCATCCTATACTAGAATATTTACATCAATTTGCCATTGGTATTAATAACACTTATTTTACTCATTCACTAATCAAAAATTAAAATTATGAAATGCACTTAACGTGGGCACTTAACATGTTCTTATTTCAACCAATTAATTAAAACGAAATTATATTGAATATTTGCAATTAAGAGTTACTAATCTTTAGAAGACGAAGCACCTAACATTTTTTGTATTGATTAACTTTACAACTATACATGTTTATATCATATATACACGTTGCATTTAAAAGGATGAATCAATTTAAAAAGATTAAAATCCACAAAATATCTAAAATATGGAATCTAACAATATTTGATAATTGATTGGTAATTCAAATTCTTCCACCGATTATGGTACTTGCTAACTATAAGTTAATAACCGAATTTATAATTACCTCAAAACTTTCATATATGGACTTATATAATTTTACCATGCACCTAACAAAAGAATATTGAGATATATTAGTTGACTTATTCAAAAAAAAAATCCTTCAAAAGATATATAAATATTAAAAAATTATGATTTAGAAAATATAAATATAAAAGAATAAATTTTGGAGATACTTTAAATGAAATATTGATTTTAAAACTTTAAGGATGTAGAAAATGTAAGAATGATATTGTGAAATTAATGGAACCCATGTTACTCGCTCGATCTTTTAGTTTTATTTAGTTGATCAATATTAAGGCTTTTTTTTTCAAGAGTCTACATGTAATCATATAATGAGGCATTTTAGTTTTGATGTTTTGTGAATGTAGTCAAAACATAAAATATATTTAATTATTAAAAACACAAAAAGATATATGTGCCATGAATGATAATATTTCATCAATACTTTCTCCACATAGAAGTTTTTTACCACGTTCAAATATTTTACGGGTGAAAACAAATTCTTATACAAAATATTTGCAAATTTGAATAGAACAAAAAACTTTACTATATGTTTCGTTTTATACAAACGTATCTTGGATCTCATTAATAATTTTACCTATTATAATTTTACTTGAATCGTTTCATTCCGCACATAGTGCGGGTTTTTATCTAGTTATATATAAATAACAGAACGATCGAACTCATGGTTAAGATACGAAATAAGAACTATAGAGATAGGCACATATATAATTAACTAATTAAGAACTATAGACATATCTACTTATCTAGTCACATAGTCATAATAATGTAAAGTTACATATACTG